CTGTTGGTTCTGTTCGGTCCCTTCCCCACCCCCACCCCACCCCCAGGGGCAGACACACACGGCCCCCGCACACACCCCCCGCACAAAAGGGTGCAGCAGAGGGGGCCCAGCAGACTTTGTGCCATGCAACAGAGCTCTGTTCTCATCAACCACTAACCCTCTTCAATGCAAAATGCAGTAGGAGCCCAAAAAGTGGTTTCTTAGGAATTTCACTGAAGGAAATAACTGTATGTATAAAATGTTTAGCCCAGGGTTATCAAAGGAAAAGACTGGTAAACAACCTACCTGTTCAGCAATTAGGGATGGTTTAATGAAAATCAGCACCTGCACTCTGGCGGGCTACAGTCCATAGTGTAGCCAAAAGTCAGATAGGACTGAGCACACACACATATCATGCAGTTGTAATGACCATCGAAGATGATGAACGTCACAAACACTTATTGAGTGCTCAGTTTATTTCTTCAGCACTCTTCTAAGTACTCTGCGGTGACGAGCTCAGTTTTCCCTCACAATAATCCTAAGTGCCATCATTGTCCCCATTTTAGAAACAGAGGCACAGAGGCACAGAGAATCGGGCCTCTAGCCCTGTATCCACAGAGCAGGGGATTCTAACCCAGGCAGTCTGGCTCCAGCGTCCTTGATGATTACAAAGGTTACAGAGAACTAGGGAGAACACCGAAGACCCAATGTTTAAAAAGGCAGAACAGGGAACATGCACTTTATGAATTAAGAAACAGTATGTGCAGAGGAGTGCAGAGGTAAACTGTGAACATTAAAATCTTTATTGATAAGGAGGTTTCCTCTTGCAGTTTGCTCCAACATTTAACAATGTCTTTCAGTTTACTTCAAAATGCTTAACTCCCTGCTGCAGCTCGTGGAGCTGCCAAGAGGCCCAAGGCCACGATTAGCTGCTATCAACCCTAGGGGTGAATGGCCCTCTAAGAAGGAGATGGTACCACCGAGAAGACCGGGGTCAGGCTGCTTGGGTTCAAGTCCAAGGTCTCCATCTTAGGCAAGTGGGCAGATGGTGGCTTTGTTGCTCACAAGTATGCGACCTTGGACAAGCTTGGTGCCCCATCTTTAAAACTGGGAATAACAACAGAACTGGTAGGAGGAGTCGAGGAGGGTTTGCTAAAGCACTGAAGACAGAGCCTAGCACAAAGTTCGTGTTTATTAAGGGGATAAAGAGCTGGAGGAACGGGGCCCCTTGACAGGCGGCCAGCCAGCTCTCCTCTTCTGTAAGGCAAGAGACTTAAAAGTCCGTGCCCTGGAGGTCATCATGTAAACAAAGGCTCCGACAGGGATGAGGCCCGAGAGCACTTGGGGCGGTGGGAGTGGGGGCTGGGGGTGGCACTGTGTAGCATCTCCGGGGCACAGCACCCAGTCTCACTTTTGAGTCTCACCCCCGTCCCCACCCCAGGGGTCTGCCTTAGCAGGGCAGGCCTTCTGCTTCTGGGAAACAATCCCACCCAGAACTAGCCAGAACTAACTGGAACCAGCCTGTAGCACCCACAAGCTATATATTAAAAAAAAAAAAAAAAGAAATTAAAGCCTGGTCTCCAACGGCAGCTCTTTACAAACACCACAGTTCCACAGTTAAGAGTACGAACAAGCAAGCCACAACCCACCTCCGAGGATGCCGCACGCGGGCGGCAGCATCTCAGTGGCCCCCTGCTCTCTGCTCACAGGGGACGGGCCGGTGGGCTCCACGTGGGAGCGCGGTGGCGGCCCGGAGTCTGCGCAGCTGGTGCTGGTGAGCACCATGTCCTTCCAGGGCACCTGGCGGCATCAGTTCTCCTTCTCGGACACTCAGCTCCTGCCTTTCACCTGCGCCCAGGGCCTGGCCCTCGAGGTTCCCATGATGTACCAAATGGCCGAGGTCAACTACGGTGAGCGGGAGGAGGCCGGGAAGGGAGGGCTGGGCTCTGCTCTAAAAGGATGCGGCTGAGTGGGGCCGCGGGTCGCTGTGAGGTGCCAGGCGCGCCGTGGAGTAAGGGATGACAAGGGAGGCGGAGACTCAGGACAGTGAGGGAGCCGATGGGGAAGAGGACCCCGATTTCATGCCAGGCCTTTCCCTCTGCATGGAGCAAAGCGGGGAGTCATATGACTGTTTGGGCAAACCCCTTCCCCTGGCAGTCTCCCCCTCAAGATGAACACCTGCTTCAGTGTGCTGAGAAATGACGGGCGATGGAGAGTGCAGTCTAGAAGGTTTCCTAGAGCATGCCCACCCGGAAGTGCTCATCACTTTGCCTGCCCATCCTTCCGGAAGTCACTCGTCCCCCTCGTGGTGGGGTGCACCTGCAGCCCCCCTTCCCAGCAGACTGTTGTGTGTGCTGTGGATGCTCCAGGGTGGGGAGCCCAGCAAGACCAGTAAGGAAGGGCCCCGCTGCCTTGCCTGCCTCACATCTCCTCTCCTGGTCACCCCTCCAAACCCTGGTTTGCATGCTCAGCCCCCTCCAGCTTGTGGGACTAATTACGTTCTTATTCCAGAAGAAGTCAGTGAGACTTAAAACAGTGTTTTAGGAGCTTTGGTGTTGGGAACACTTGCTATCATCCTGCTTTGATTCCATTCAAGACCCTTGTGAGTTCCCAGTGCATTTATTCATTAGCTTATTCAACCAATAATTATTCACTGAGGTCAAGTAAGATGGGAATGGAAGAATGTCTGTTGAATAAGTAAACATACATTTACAATGGACTATATTGAAAGTGAAAGTGAAAGTCGCTCAGTCCTGTCCAGCTCTTTGTGACCCCATGGACTATACAGTCCATGGAATTCTCCAGGCCAGAATTCTGGAGTGGGTAGCCTTTCCCATTTCCAGAGGATCTTTCCAACCCACAGATCGAACCCAGGCCTCCCGCATTGCAGGTGAATTCTTCACCAAATGAGCCACTGAGCTGACCAAAAAGTTTGTTCAGATTTTTCCATAAGCTATTATGGAAAAACTCAAACAAACTTTTGGCCAACCCAATAATTCTTGCTCCTAACACTTTCCCGTCGCTGCTGTGACCCATGCTGGTTGATCTGTCTGCTGGGTGATGCTGGCAGGCAGATTCTGAGATGTTCCTGTTCTCCCCAGCACACAGTGCAGGGTGGCTGGCACACAATGGAGGCTGAGCAAGTATTTACTGAGCAGATTCAAAAAGGAGTATGAACCATGCCCCTGTCTTTCCCTACTGATTGTAAGATTTTGCTGCAGTGGCCAGTCAGCTCTGCTGTCTGTCCACCCTAAGGCCCAGGCCTCCCTGTCCTCCCAGGGAAGGGATCGAGCCTGGAGTTCTGCCCAAGACTGGGGCAGCCACAGGCTGCCAGGTCAACCCAGCTCACCTAGATTGCTCCCAACTGTTTGCCCGCCTTGTTCCATCACTGGGTCTAGCCACTACATCTGCATTCACCAGAAACCCTCTCTGAATCTCCTGATCTCTGGCCACTGTGTCTGCTGCCACCTGCCACCTGTCCCATCACACACTTCTGAAATTAGGCTGTGCCCAGTGGCCTGGACTTGTCCTTGGCCAGTCATGGCCATCACCCACAAGCTCCCAGCTGTCCATCCTGAAGCCCACTTGTTTATGTCACAGGGTACAAATTATCTGTTCAAATCCATCCTGAACTCCTCTTTCCTTCAGTCTTTGCAATGCTTTGCACTTCCCAGGTGGCTCAGTAGTAAAGAATTCACCTGCCAATGCAGGAGACACAGGTTCAATTCCTGGGTCAGGAAGATCCCCTAGAGGAGGAAATGGCAACCCACTCCAGTATTCTTGCCTGGAAAATCCCATGGACAGAGGACCTTGGTGAGCTGCAGTCCATGGGGTTACAAAGAATCAAATGTGACTTAGCAACTGAGCATGCTCCACACATGCATGTGCAGTCCTTTAGACACTGGGAAATTTCATGTGACATCTAGGCTTAGAGCTCTGGTTGCATGAGTGTGTGCTAAATCACTTCAGTCAGACTCTTTGCAACCCCATGGACTGTAGCCCACCAGGCTCCTCCATCCATGGGATTTTCCAGGCAAGAGTACTGGAGTGGGTTGCCATTTCCTTCTCCAGGGGATCTTCCCAACCCAGGGATTGAACCCAGGTGTCCTGCATTACAGGCAGATGCTTCAATGCAGGAGACACAGGTTCAATTCCTAGGTCAGGGACAATCCCCTGGAGGAAGGCATGGCAGCCGACTCCAGTATTCTTGCCTGGAGAATCCCATGGACAGCGGAGCCTGGAGGGCTACAGTCCATGGGGTCCCAAAGAATCAGACACGACTGAGCAACTTCACTGGTTCACTGGTTACCACTAGCGCCACCTGGGAAGATTTTGGTTGGAAGATAGGAAAATCTGACACCAAGAGCCTGGGTCCTGATATGGTAACAACAGGCCAGGATTATAGTGGCTGTCCCTTTAAGAAGGGGTTTGGCTATCCTGTGCCTGCACCTCCACCCTGCCCAGCCACTGCAGGCCCAGGGACTCAAGCCGCATGAGAATACCTTGGAGACATTCTAGGTCTTAGGATCAGCCAAGGTGGCCACAAGCTCCCAACAGTCTTGGTCCTCAAACAGCTCCCTGAAGGTGAGGTGGATACCTGATTGTTAATAAAATTCATTGTTTCCAGTTCTGGGAGCTCCCTGTGTCCGGCACTGTCTGTTTCCTTGGGCTCCCGGGACAGAACTGATTCCCCCATCCACTGAATCCCCCAGGCTGGTTTCAGGACCCTGCGGGCCATCAGGTGGGGGTCCTGGAGCTGCCATACCTGGGAACTGCGGCCAGCCTGCTCCTGGTCCTGCCTCGGGACAGAGACACACCGCTGAGCCACATTGAGCCCCACCTCACAGCCAGTCTCCTCCACGCCTGGACCACCAGCCTGAAGAGAGCCCGGATGGAGGTGTTCCTGCCCAGGTGAGCAGCTGCATCATCCTGTCGGCGGGCTCCTCGGCCTGCTCCAGTTGTCCAGACCTGGATTACAGAACCCGGGCGGCTGACTCTAGGGTCTGTGCAGTTACCTTGGAGAGTGCCCCCTAAATCTTATCACATCCCAAGAGTATACAGCCATCATTTTTCAAAACCAAACAGGAAAGATCGCTTATGCAGTTGAGCAAATATAGATATAATTCCCATCAGAAGGCAAATTGAGGCATAAAAGTTGAAGGCTTTACATCCTTGCACTGAAGGTTTCATTCTTTCTAAAGAAAAGTGAGCCTTTCTTTAAGAAAACCCAATAGGTACAAATACAAAACCCCAAGAGGTCAAAAAGTTAAATGATGGTGCTGGATTTTGCTTCTCCAAAGCAAAACCAATTTGCAAAACTCATTACTTTACAAAGGGTTCCTCAAGGAGCATCTCTAAATGATAAGCTTCATTTGAAATCAGAGTAAATGCATAATTAATTTGGAGACCAGCAGTTAAACAAAAAAATTATCCGAGGGTTCATTTGCAGCATGTGGATTCTTCATGCTCCTCCCACTGGCCACCTCGGCCTCCTCCACTGACCAGGCTCTCTGCATTGCTGAGCCAGAGGCCTTGGCAGGGCTCCCTCGAGGAGTTAAAAATAAGTCCAGGCCCTGGAACAAAAAACAGAGAAAGAGAGAGAGAGAGAGACCCAGTGAGTGAAGGGCCAAGGTCTAAAGTGGGATCGGCCTAGCGAGGGCAAAAGGTGAATTAAACTCAGAGATAATGCCTATCTCTCCAAACCAAATATTTGGACCCCAAATCAAAGCCCAAAGACTGGCTATTTCAGCAGATCTTTCTAGCATGGAGCAGAAGCAAGCCTGATGTTTCTTTTATGTTTACGAGAAGCTCAGCAAAAGAAGAAGAGCTTTCAAGGCTAACAATAGAGAGAAAATGCAGCTGGGAGTAGGACTTTGCTACAGTCTCTTTGAGTGTAGGAGACAGACGGCTGGCCTCATCCTGGAGCAGCTGATATAAGGAAGAGGCCCCTGGGAGATGCCCAGCGCCACTGAGAACTAGTCACTGGTGCTGATTCTGCCTTTAGAACTTGCAATCCCTTGAGAAAAGATCCAAAAAAACTTCAGAGGATGGGGAAGGGACAAGAAGGTAGAGGTCATAGTTACCCAAGTATTCATTCACACTTGACCTTATCTGGATTAAAAAAAAATTTTTTTTTTAATCTCTCTAAGACTATTCAGCCTGCTATCTGAGAAGAATAGAAGTTTTTAGGGAAATAAAACTTCCCTTACCTTTTAGGGGTGTTTCACAGGCAAAACTAACCAAGTTTATCAAAAAGACTGTTCTGACTTCCATTGAATTTTCTTGACACTCTTGTCAAAATCAATTGGCCATAAATATAGGCTTATTTCTAGACTTCCAATTTTATTCTATAGGTACAAATGTCTGTACTTTTGCCAGTACTGCACACTCTTGATTGCTTACTGTAGTTTTTTAATGCATTTAGAAATCAGCAAGTATGAGTCCTTCAACTTTGTTTTTCTTTTTTAAGATTGTTTTGGCTATTCTGGGTTCCACATCTTTCTATGTGAGTTTTAGGATCAGCTTATCAGTTTCTGCCAAATAAATAGCCAGGTTCTTGATATGGACTTTGCTGACTCTGTAGATTAACTTGGGGAATATTGCTTTATAACAATATTAAGTATTCCAGTCCATGAACACAAGATGTTCAGGTTTTCTTTAAGTTTTTATCAATGGTGTTTTGTAGTTTTCAGTGTACAGGTTTTGTTAAATTTACTTCTAAGTATTTTATTCCTTTCAATGCTGTTGTAAATGGGATTTCATTTTCAGATTGTTCATTGCTAGTGTAAAGAAACAGTTAATTTTTGTATCTTGATCTTGTATCCTGCCACCTTGATGAACTCATGTATTAGCTCTAATAGTTTTTTCTCTGTGTGTATGACTCTGTGTGTGTATTCCTTAGGATTTTCTATATACAAGACCAGGTCGTCTGTGAATAGAAATAGATTTAGTTCCTTCTTTTGATTCTGGACACATTTGCTTTCTTTTTCTTGTGTAATTGCCCTGTACACCCTTCAGTAAAGTGTTAAATAGAAGTGGTGATCATCTTTATCTTGTTCCTGATCTAAGGGGAAAGCATTCAATCTTTCACCATTAAGGATGATGCTAGCTGTAGGGGGTTGTAAATGCCCATTTTGAGGCTGAAGAAATCTCCTTCTATCCCAAGTTTGTTAAGTGTTTTTGTTTTTATAAAAGAATGTCAAGTGCTTGGACAAGTACTTTTTCTGCATCTCTTGAAATAATCACGTTGCCCTTGTCCTTTATTTCATTAATATGGTTTTTTAGATGGGTTGATTTTCATATGTCAAACCCACCTTGCATTCCTGGGAGAAGTCCCACTTGGTCATAGAGGGATTTATGTGTTGCTGGATTCAATTTTTTAATATTTTGTTGAGGATTTTTACATCTGTATTCATAAGGGACACTGGTCTGTCATTTTCTTGTGATATCCTTGTCTAGTTTTGGTAAAGGGTGTTTTTTCTAACTCAAGATATCTTTGTAGCATCTCTTCTGGCCTGGCCTTCATAGCCATACAAGAAAAAAATCACTGTCCTCTTTCAGAGTCATACCTCATTTTTACTATTGTCTTTAGATACTAAAAATGGTATTACCTAGCTTTATCTCCTACCATAACCACAATACGTGGCTTCAAACATGCCTTAGCTCTTTCCCAATATCAATGAGAAACAATAGAACCACAGTGGTAACAATAAAGTGCTGCATGAGCTGTACTGGGCATTGTTCTGAGCACTTTACCGGGATTATTTCACTTACTATTCACAAAACTAAGAACTGAGCAGTAGTATTAGGCCCATTTCCTAAGTAAAAAAACCGAGGCAAAGAGAGGCAAAGTCACTTGCCCAGGTTCCCTCCGCTAGTAAGAGGCTGAGCCAGCATTTAAGCCTAGGCACTAGTTCCCAAGTTCATGTTCTTAACCAGTATGTTTCAGCACTGAGAGTTCTCAGAAAACTGCGGTTTAAGGATTTAAGAAAATTTCAGAGAAAGCAGTCTAAAAAATTTTTTTGAGGAACTTCTCTGGTGGTTCAGGGATTAAGACTCTACACTTCCAATGCAAGGGGTGTGGGTTCAACCCCTGGTCAGGGAACTAAGATTCCACATGCTGAGAGGTGTAGCCCCCCCGCCAATTTTTTTTTTTTAATTTTTCTGAAATATCTGCATACTTAGAGAAAAGTGGTACCTTTTTTGGAAACTATGGCCAAGATTCAGAACACACATTTACGGGAAAATCTGATACCTTTGTTTAAAATATTGGGCACATTGTCTTGTATGGCAGTGAAGAACTTGGATATTTAACAGTCTGGGACAGTATTTTTATTCTACAAGAGTTCTGCATGATTTATAGAAAAGACCATCTACATTCCATTTTGGAAGTTTTTTGTTCTCAAAGGAAAATTACGCCATTCGTCCTTTTAAAGCCTCCTTCAAAGGTAAAGTTTTAAATGCCTTGCCCTTGAAGAAACATGATAAAGTTGGTGGGCTGGTTTTTCCTGCTCTCGGGACTTAACTGGGAAAACTAAAGACCCACGCTGCACACAGCAAACGTGAAAATATGTTGTATCAAACAGAAAAATGTTCAACGAGACGCTATTAGTTGGCAGTTAGTCAGCAACTGCTTTTCTGCACCTACTGTGTGTGAGGCCACCCAGGGGGCAGATGGCTGGTGGCAGAGTCTAGACACCAAGAGCACAGGCTCTGCGCTCCATCAGCCTTGTCCAGGCGCGCTCCATCGCAGACTCAGGACGTCCTCTTGGGCAAGCTCCTTAAACACTTTAAGCCTCAGTGTTCTATCTGTAAAATGAGAATAATAATGCAGTTACATGATGAAAAGTTGAGATCATCCACATAAAATACTCATGGTAGTGCCTGGCACATGGTATGCATGTGTGCATGCTCAGTCATGTCCAACTCTTTGTGACCCCATGGACTGTAGCCCACCAGGTTTCTCTGTCCATGGGATTCTCCAGGCAAGACTACTGGAGTGGGTTGCCATTTCCTACACATGGTAAGCACTCATTAAATATCAATTATTATGAAGAAATAATGAGACTCTTCTCTCAAATAGTTTACAGTATCATAAATAACACTAATAGGAAACAGACCATTCTATACATCAAAAGAGTGGAACAAAGTGCTTAATGGGGCTTAAAGAACTGAAGGTCACAGAACAGCTGGGGAAGAAGGGGAGTGATCACTGAACTGAGCTTAGAGGAGAGGATAGTACAATTCAAATTCAAGGCAGACCTGGAAAGAACAGCAGAAGCAAAGGTTCAGAGGTGGGAGAGGGGGCTGTAGGGTCAGATTAGTCAGGGGGTCGGGGTGTGGGAAGGAGCAGTGACAGATGAAGTTGGAAATGAGCCTGGAGCTCCCTGATTTTGAAGGGAGGGGGTTGGGTTGTCATGTGATGAATATCAAAGTCCACTGAGTGAAAATCCTAAGTGAAAGTGTATATCTTTTGTTGTTTTAGGTTTAGGATCCAAAATCATTTCGACTTGAAAAACATTTTATATTCCTGGGGAGTCATCGATCTTTTTGATCCACTCAGAGCTAACTTGAAAGGAATTTCAGGTAACAACAGTTCTTTTTCCAAGCTTATTGGCATTGTGTGTGTGGCGGGGGAGGAGGTGCTGTTTTTAATCAGTAATCATGCACTGATGAAGGGGTTCACACCTATGAAGCCTTTAGAGGTAAACAGCCAGAGTTGATGTGGCTTAAAAGAATAAAGAAAGTGCTTTACTGTATATAAGAACATTCTGCTTCAGATGCCAGATTTGGGTTGGACTTTGTGGGGGCAGGGGTGTTTCTTGAGATGACCTCTAAGCACCACACCTTCAGAGTGAAGTCAGTGATCAGAGGTCACTATACAGCTCCCATCCCTCTGCCTGTCATGATAGGAGATACCAGAGATACTGGTACAGCAGAGCCCATCATTCTGACCTCCCACCATCACACTTCGTTTCTATCTCTGACCCGTCCCTCCCTGGACCTCTCTGTCTTCTTCGAATGATCTTACCCTCATCCATCCAATTCCTTTCTTCAAATTACTTCCACAAATTATCCATAACCTGGCCTTAAAATGTTATCCCTCCCAGAGTCTGTATTAGATTTCATGGCTCATAGTAGACAAGCTACTACTAATCTATGGGCTCTGTATTCACCTGTGGTCTGACAGAACTGACATCTAATGTTAAAAGAGAGGGGAAGGCCAGAACCTAATGTTTCAGAATTCTCCCAGGAGACCACTGGTGAAGCTACTGCCACCTCCAAAGACTCCTTGAGTTCGTTGCTGCTCTGGATAGTAATGAATTATCTGTACGAAGATGATCCTGGGGCAGGCATTGCCTTGGCTTTGAGGCTTTCCTTGCCCAAGGAGCTTATGAAACCTCTGTTTGGAATGCTAGAACCTCATAGCTCAGACACGTTTTCTAAACCCTTGCTCAGATTTGTTTCTTCAGCCATCACAGGAAAAAAAAGGGAGTTTAGTCCACAACGGAGTCTCGGCTTGGGTATTAGATGTGACCAGTTAGACTCCACAGCAGAGTTACTTATCAGAAAACACAGGAGGCAGGCTCTATTCTGGGTTATTTATACTCCACCAGCTCTGAACTCATTGCCTAAACATGCAAAGAGACAGTAAGCAAAGCAATAGTCAAGTTTGGGCCCAGTGCCCCCCCAGCAATGTTTGGCACACAGTGGGGAGCCAGTAAATACTGTTGACTTGGTGAATGACGCTACCAGAAATTTCGCCTGGTGACACAGACATAATCTGGCACTGCAAGGAAAAGAAGACTAGAGCTAAAGACTAAGAGGCAAGGAAAGAGGAAGGGATGAAGGATTTGTGTGCAGTCTATCTTTAATAACACAATCCCATCACAATCTTTTTTTGTGGCTCTGGAGCTCAGCTATGGCATTCCTGTTTTTACCAGCCTAATTCAAAATTTGTGAGCCATTCTGACCTTCTTTTCCACACTGCTACATTCCAGTAGTCACTGTGACTCACTGCTTGTTCCTTCATCATTCTCAGAAATACATCCTAAAAGGCAGTCAACCCTGTGTCCTCAAAAAGAATTGAGCTCAACCCACATGATGCAGTTCTCCTATCAGTAAAGACCTCTGAGGCTCAGAGCTCCTCTGACAAGATCTAACAAGCAGCTGAGTTTAAAAAGAACCTTTTAAAATACCTAACCTCTTGTTTTACAATGCAATTAAAGTCTACTTATTTTTGCTCAAATCAGCAGAAATATAGGCTTATGGACCTGGCTTATTAAACAAGTATCAAGCAGTTACCACACATCAAGTGGGAAGCTTGCATGCCTATTTCCTTCAGATAAAATATATCCACCTTACAATCTTCTCCCATAAAGTTTTATTCCTCTAACACAGGGATCACCAAATGAGGGCCTACCACCTATTTTTATAAATAAAGTTTTATTGAAACACAGCCACTCCCATTCATTCAAACTCACCCATGGCTGCTTTCCTGCTATAATGGCAGAACTGAGACTTTACAACAGACGCCATATGGTCTGTAATGGCTGAAATATTTCATATCTGGCTTTTTACAGATAGAGTTAGCCATCTAAAACATTGCTTTCCAATGTCCTTCTTGAAATATGATCAATAGACTAGTCACTTCTGTGCCTAAGTAGGCTGTTGACTTAATTCTGGAGACACGGCCACTGAATCTAACAATTGTTGTGTCATGCCTAAAATGGGATAGCTGCAACCCACCTCACATCTTATTTGCAGAGATGAAATTATCATATAGCAAAGCATCAGCAGAGAGCTGGACAGAGAGTAAGTGATCAGATAACACTGGTCTCCTGTCGTACAATTAACAAGGGGCTGCAACAGTTTTGTACTACTGATGGACACTCAACAACCACTGGGAACATTTGGTTTTTTCTTTCTATTTGGTACCAAAGCCCAGAATCAAGTTCCCCTTCTCCATTTGAAAGGCACTCATTTCTTCTTTTATGGCCTCAAATCCTATTTTTGCTGCATGAAGAACTTGATTGAAATCATTTCAAGGCCCAACTGGGCCTAGCCTGTTTTTCTCCCTAGAGAAAAACACCTTAGCACTACATGTTATGAAGCTCTTAAGAATAATGCCAGTTTCACTTACACTAAAGTCACCAGCTAGAGATCCACTTTCTGAGCAGTCCCACTTCCTGTAGGATGAGCAGGCTTTGGTACCAACCCAAGTTTCCTAATCTAAGAAATAGTCCTTGTGCACAAACTTGAAACTTTGAAGAAACTGCCTTATTCTTAACTTTTGTGACTGGTTTCCAACCTCTGCTCAGGAAGACACACAAGCTCCCTGTTTCTATAATGTGAATGAACAAACCAGCCAGTTGTTTGGCTGTGAACTGAAGTTAACTTATGCCATACAAGTTACTGGGCAGAGCTCCAGTAGGTCATCAAGATGGTAACATAGGTCATTCCAGACTTCAGTCTCTTTCCCAAGAAGACCAACTAGCAAGTCTCCATACATATGTCAACATTTTAGAAATGCCCTCACCTGGGGGGTGAGGCTGAAGCACCCCTCTGAAACAGAGACTGAGAAGGACCACATTAGAAAGTAAGAAGAAAGGGCTTCCCTGGTGGCTCAGGGGCAAAGAATCCACCTGCCCGTGTAGGAGACATGGATTCAGTCCCTGGGCTAGGAAGATCCCACAGGCCACAGAGCGACTAAGCCCATGTGCACCACAGCTATTGAGCCTGTGCTCTGGTGCCCGAGAGCTGCAACTACTGAGTCCACGCGCTGTGACTACTGAGGTCCATGTGCCCCACAGCCCACGCTCCACAACGTGAGACGCCCGCACATCGCAGCTAGAGAGTAGCCCCCGCTTGCTGTAACTAGAGAAAAGCCCATGCAGCAATGAAGACCCAGTGTGGCCAAAAGTAAATAAATAAAGTTATACTTTTTTAAAAAGGCATAAAAAGAAAGTAAGAGGAGTGGCTTTTTTCTGACCACATCACCACCCGCTCCAGGCTGACGCAGCTCTGCACTGAGAGTGCCCGCTGGTCGGTCCACAGTTTCTCCAGTGAGAGAAGAGGCCCAAGGTGGACATCCGGCTCATCCAGTGCATTGAGTGTTTCAGGACACATCCTGGCAGACCCAATCAGGTCTTGCCTCATGGATCAGAGAGATGGAGAAAGGGGGTAAAGCCTACAGCATTCAGCAGCTACACCTTAAAAGAGCATACTGCAGTGGCACCTGAGCAAAATCCCCAGCCAGGAGCAATGCCCATGGGCAGAGCCAAGCCAATGGCCCCATCTGGCCAGAGGGCTCAGTTGGCACTTCTGGGATTTGGGTCTCTGGTGAAAGGGCCACCATACTCCCAACTCACCCAGGCAGGAAAGCAAGTTCACAGCCCACCCCAACCGCCAAGCATAGTCTCATGTCCTGTTCATGTAGGAAGCCTGGCCAGAGAACCCAGATTGCCAAGAAGCCTGTCCTACGGCCTTGCTTGGGCAAAGAGCTAAGTCAGACGCCCTGCCCAACTGTTGAGCACAGTCCCTGACACCACATAACCAGGAAGCCTGATCAGGGACTGTGGACGACCTTGGAGCTCAACCCATGGTACCACCAAGCCGAAGCCCAGCCTGTGACCCCACCTGACACAGAGCCCAGCCAATAGCACCACCCAGTCAGGGAACACACCCTGAGTCCCCATCTGACCAGGAATGGTTGCAGAGCACAGCCCACAACTGCCCAATCATGATATCCAGTCAGTGGTACCATCCTGCCAGGGAACACAGCCGGCAACCTCACTCAACCAGAGGTGATTACAGAACTAACAGCTCAACCCGAACATGAAACATAGCCAGAAGCTCCACATGAAGAGGAAGCCCACCCAGTGGCTCCACTTGAATGCACAGTCCAGCCAGCAGTCCCACCCAACCAAAGAGCCCAGCCAGCAGCAACCCCTGCAGCCTCAGAGCATATGCAATAGCCTTTTTCAAACAGAGACCCTGATAGAAGGCCTCACCCATCCATAGCTGCTAGGAGCTGACTGGTGAAGGTCTTTTTCCTGCCACAGCAAATCTGTAAAGTCTGGGAGAGCAGACTGCTTACTTTAAATACATAGATGTTAATGCAAGGAATGAAGGAGCATGAAGGATTAAAAAAACATGATACAAGCCAAAGAAACAAGTAAAACCCCAGTAACTAACTCCAGTATGCTTGCCTGGAGAATCCCATGGACAGAGAAGCCTGGCAGGCTATAGTCCATGGGGTTGCAAAGAGTTGGACATGAATGAGCAACTAACACTCACTCACTCAACTACATAGATAAATGGAGATCTATGAACTATCTAACAAAGAATTCTAAGTAATCTTCTTAAAGAAGTTCAGTAAACTACAAGAATGCACAGACAGACAAAATTAGGAAGACAGTACACAAATAAGTAAGTTCAAGAAAGAAACAAACTATCAAAAAACCAAAACAAAACAGAAATCCTAAAGCTTAATAATACAATGACTGCCCTGAAGATTAAGAGAGCTTCAACAGCAGAATTGATCAAGCAAAGGAAAAAACAGAAAACCTCAGTGAATTACATTTGAAATTATCTAGTAAGAGGAGCAAAAAGAATAAAGAGTGAAGAAAACCTACGGTAGTTGGCTTTCTTCAAAGCCAGCAATATATACACTAAGGGATGGAACAATATATACTCTATGGGAATCCCAGAAAGAGAAGAGAGAGGGACAGAAAGTCTATTTAAAGAAATATTAGCTGAAAACCTCCCAAAATTGTAGAAAAATGGGCATCCAGATTTATGAGGGCCATGACCCCAAATACGTTGAACTTGAGAAGGGCTACCCTGAAAGACATAATAGTCTAAAGACAAAGAATTTGGAAAGCAGCAAGAGAGGAGGACTTCCATGGTGGCTCAGATGGTAAAGAATTCGCCTGTAACGCAGGAGACCCAGATTCAGTCCCTGGGTTAGGAAGAGCCCCTGGAGAAGGAAGTGGCAACCCATTCGAGTATTCTTGCCTGGAGAATACCCACGGACAGAGGAGCCTGGTGGGCTGCAGTCCATGGGGCTGCAAAGAGTTGGACACGACTGAGCAACTAAGCATGCACACAAGACAGAAGAAATAAGTTACACACAAGGAACCGCCATAAGACAACCAGTGATTTCTCAACAGAAACTGAAAATGGCTGTTATCAAAATGATAAGAAATAGCAAGAGTTTGGAATTCCTTGGTGGTTCAGTGGTTAGGATGCCACACTCTCACTGCTGAGGGCACAGGTTAGATCCCTGCTCAGGGAACTAAGATCCTGGAAGCCATGCGGCACAGCCAAAAAGAAAAAGAAAGAAAGCAATAGCAAGTGTTGGTAAGGATGTGGATAAAAGGGATCCCTTGTACACTGTTGGTAGGAATGTAAATTGGTATAGCCACTATGGAAAACGGTATCATGTTTCCTCAAAAGAGTAAAATGGAACTTCCATATAATCCAGCAATTCCTATCTGGGTATGTATCCAAAGAAAATGAAATCATTGTGTCACAGAGATATCTGCACCCTCATGTTCATGGTAGCATTATTTATAACAGTCATGGAGAAAAGTGTCAACATATACAATGGAATATTATTTGGTCATAAAAAGAAGAAAATCCTGCCATTTGCAACATTATAGAAAAATCCTGAGTGCATTATGATAAGTGAATTAAGTCAGAGAAAGATAGATACTATATGATCTCACATATACTATATATAATCTAAAATCTAAGTATAATCTAAAAAAAAGCTAAACTCATAGAATCAGAGTACACAGTGGTGGTGGCCAGGGTGGGGAGAATGGCTGAAGGTGGTCAAAGGGTACAGATATAAAGTATATTATCTTATTTGCAATATACACATACCTAAAACCATCACATCATACACCTGAAATTTACATTGTACATGTCAATTACACCTCAACAAAGCTGGCTGGGAGAGTGGCAAGAAAGCAAGATGTGAGGAGTGGGCTAGAGGAGAAGAATGGAGAGAGGAATTGACCACATACTTGCAGAGGCCATTTCAGGTTCTTTCCAGCACTCTGTATATTCTGGGCTAGGTGCTATGTGACATACACTCTCCATCTACAACTAAGTGACAAGAAGAGGAGAAAGAGGAGAAAGATAAACTAGAAACAGATTCTGGCAATAACTTTTTCAAAGCATTAATATTGCCAATATTAAGTAATAATATCTGGGGAGACAAAAGACACAGCCAATGATGTTTGTCCGACTTTTTGAGAAGTTGAGGATGGAATGTCAGATTATTGGCTTACATTTTGCAAATCTTATGTTTATAGTGTCACATTATGAAAACCCTCAAACCTTCTTAGAGTATGGCCAACCACATACAAAGGACCGTGGGCTCCACTAACAAACGGGAAGGGGGCGCCTTGTCATTCGGATGACACTTGCCAAGGACTCCTGCACTATGCCCCTGAGTCCACAGACACCAACCATTTCCTTATGAGTGAAAATCAAATGAAAGGACATTAAGGTAGCTGTTTTTATGGGGGAAATGAAACAAATGTACAGTGTGTGGAGTGAGCCCCCAGTATTCATTCATTCGTCCAACATTTACTACACACCTATGTGTACCAAGCACTATTATGCTAGTTGAGTGAGGTAACAAATATTTAGAATGAATAATACAGCTTCTGTTTTCTAGGAGCTCACAATCTAAAAAGGAAGGTTCAGATGGAAACACAGAAGATGTTATGGAAGAAGAGTTTATTCATTTGCTTTGGATATTGAAATGTAGTATGAGTGGGTTTATTGAGGGGAAGGCAGCTAGCGTCCCAAAGTAGGTTCTGTAGAATGCTAACCTGGTAAATTTGGGGACAGGAGATCATGTGAGTTGTTCCATGGTTAAACACTACATATGACAGTGCTCCTGTAGAGCTATGAACACCATGAACATGAACAGATGAGCCACTCTAAGAAGTCCACTGTTAAAAACAAAAGCACAAGCCTGTTCAATTTGCATTTCCCATGTTATTACTCATGGAACCCTTTATATATAAACAACCTTGGGAACAAATTTTGGGGAAACAGGTTGAATGGCCCTCAATGGCATTAGACAGTTGCCAACACTGCAGGAGAGAATAAGCCCAAAGCCAGGAGGATCCTCTAGGCTGAGTTCATTAGCTGCATAACATATCCAGAGCCACTTAACAGAAGTAAGCAAATTGGGATCTGCAATACAAGATCAAGCAAGAAGAAAAACATAACCCACAGATGACTCCTGAATCCTTGTTTTGATGACAAATGCTGGTCTTCTGAAATGTTAACTCTTACCAGAGATAAAATGTATAGGAGACGAGGATGTCGAGGCATGCCAGGCTATGGGTTTAAGCCTATGTCTGTGCAAACATGTAAATGTCACTTCTTGTGCCACTCCTGTAATAGGACGGAGAAAAAAGCTCCTCAGTTGCAGTTTCAAGAAACTGAAATAGCCATGTCCATCTACTGAAAAACTCACTCATACCAACCAGTTGGCACCATTTCTCACAGTCTGCCAGGGCACCTGGACTCTAACACAAACGTATTCAGCTATATTCTAGCCGATAGAGAACCTGTGCTCATTTCATTAAGTATTTGGATGCCATTCTAGATAGTAATGAAGTCACAGATTAGTAAAACCTTCTCATGACCATTAACCATTCCTTATAAACACAGTTCTAATTTGGGTCCCACATTTCAGTTTGCTCAGTGAGTTAGCCAGACAGGGTAGTTATTAATCATAGATTTTCTAAAAAATGCTACTGAAAAAGATCAACTGCTAAAACCAATCAAATTCTGCACTGGTGTTAGGATGAGTGATGCCAAGTGAATGTTTGCATCGAGTTTTCTCTCCCTCTGGCCCTTGTCTGGTCCCCTTCACTGGCACTGAAAAAGACCTTTTCCTTACAGCAAACGCATAGCCAACTCACAATTCCCTTATTTACAAGACAGATGAAATGCCACATATCCTGTACTCTGCTGGTCGTACTCTCTCACAACATTCATTCACCAGCCCCTCGTATTGTATATGAGAACTCAAAAACAATTTAGTCTAAAACAGAGAAGCCCCCTCAGAATACAGCATGTCCATCACGATGTTTAAGACTCCTGACACATGCTCCCTTTCCAGGGCATGCTAGAATTGACTAGAACACACTTTTGCAAGGTGGTGGCATCCGTGTGGAAGGGTGGGGTGGGAATGGGCATGGTATCTGCTGTCAGAACACCTGCATCTGCCCAACACGATCTCTGGTTAAGTGTGTGGCCTCAGAGAATTTCTAGTTTCTTCTCATTCTCAAGATTCTTACTTTCACTCTTTGTATCATCAAGTACCAAGCAAACTGTTTAAACATGATGGATGGCTAAATTATAAAAACCTGTCCATTCCTCTAACGTTACCACTCAAATTCCTGCTTGCTAAGCTTATAATGCCTTTGAAATTGTTGGCATGCAACTATTATAGTTCTCACCTCTTGTTTTCTTTGCAGATTCTAGCCCATGAGGCAAGGTAATTGCATAACTGATATGCTCAGTATACAGAATGCAGTCACATGGCATGAGATATTTTTAATACATTGCCTTTTAAAGCCCATAGTACAAACCTCTGTCTGTCATTTAAAAGTGGCTCTTAAAATGCAGCCCAAGAAGGCATTCAAAGGAAGTCATCTCAGAAGCTTGCTGAATGTGCAGATTCCTGGGCTCTGGAGTTTGCATTTTAACACATATTCTGGCAATTCTTATACACCGAAATTTTAGAAATACTAAAGATTTCAACAGTAACTAGAAATTAGGTTTGAAAATTAACTTGAAAAAATGGGGATACAGCCCTGGATATTGAGTGGGATTATTTATTAGATGGGGCTCAGACAGTAATGTATATCTGCCTGCAATGTAGGAGACCCAGGTTCAGTCCCTGGGTTGGGGAGATCCCCTGGAGAGGGGAATGGCAACCCACTCCAGTATTCTTGCCTGGAGAATTCTATGGACAGAGAATCCTGGCAGGCTACAGTCCATGGGACCACAAGTGAGTTGGACACGACTGAGCAACTAACACTTTATTAGGTACTTAACCAAATTGGAGGCTTTGAAAGTTGCATAAAATATTGCACCTTAAAATTTCCCAAATCTCTATTTCCACAGTAAGCAGCATGCAAGACTATAACTAAGCCTGTTCTTTCAAGAAAATGCAAATAATCCCATTTCCGTTTCCTCTGCTTAGGCCAAGATGGCTTTTATGTTTCTGAAGCGATCCACAAAGCCAAGATCGAGGTTTCAGAGGAAGGAACTAAGGCATCTGCAGCCACAGGTATGTGCCTAAGAGGACTGGGTGTCAGCAACACTCAGGAATGCTGCTGGCCTATATCTCCCCCTTTGTTAGACTCATCCAGTTCAGCCTTCACACTTCTAAGCCTTCCCACTAAAACCCCATGTCCAGGTGTGATAAGAGCATTTAAAAAAGAAGTTAACAGAATCGAGTTTTTGAAAATGATGGGAGAAAAAGAGCCATTTTGAAAAGGATCTGCACCATGACCCCATAAATAAGGAATAGTCATTCTGAAAATTACCTTCAGGAAGGAATTTATTCCATGAAATATTCTGAGAATAGGACACAGTGTTGGCCAAGTGCTATCTTTTCTCTTTAATTTTCCCATTTGCACCCCATCATAACACTAAAACAATGCTGTATCATTAGGATGCTTTTATTTCTTCAAAAATCAAGTGACTTTGTATCCAATTATAATAGTGCCTTTCCTCAAATGAAGAGAAAATACAATGGGATTCTACTTTTTTTTCCTGCAGCTCTGTTGTTACTGAAAAGGTCTCGGATTCCTATTTTTAAAGCGGATCGGCCGTTCATCTTTTTCCTGAGAGAACCGAACACAGGTATTACTATTTTTGATAGGATTCATGTAAATATTTATCAGCACCTCGCTAGCAACAAGGGCTCATTTGTCCACCCCAACCTAAAACAAGCATTCCTTTTAGCTGGTTTCTGTAGTGCTTCCAAAGCTCCCCAGTTGCTATGTCATGTATCCTGAGAAAGGGGAATATTTCATAACTACTGAGGAGACTAATACCCTCTGTGGCTTTTCTGCCTTCTGTTACTCTCAGCTCATTTATGATTGATGTAGGTCTTTAAAAATTTAAGTTTCTACTTCTGGGGAGGACTTAAAAAAATCATGAAAGTAAAATAAATGATATATCTTTTTTCCCCATTGTTGCTGAACTTTCTTGGCCTTGTAGGATGAAAGAGTTCATTCAGGCCACGAGTGTCCAAGTCATCCCCTGGTACTCTCAGCACCCCCAGTATCCTAGGGAATGCACCTGCGTTTCTAGCTTTTCTGTTATCTTTCTCAAGCTTGTTGAAATTACACAGAAATCAAATATTTGCCCTAGGCCTTGGCCTACCATACAACCTCATCTTAATCCAAAGATGGTACGGTACAGGCAGAGCCTTTAGCACCTCAGAAGGACAAGCAGAAGTCCTTGAAGTCTCAACAACAGTGAACAAGTATTCAAATGATTCCTCTGAATGTTGCCCCACCCTCTCTGGCAATTACTTATCAGCCTGGGGAAAAAAGAGAGATTCTCAGTAAAGAGTTGTTGGCAAGTCTAAACAATGTGTTAAAAATAAATAGAGTGGACCAGGACTAACAAAATCAAGCAAAAGTGGATCTACTTTAACTAAACATCAGGCATTATTTTTATTTATGGAGAGAAAAAAGTCAAGTTAGAATAATGAAAATTATGCATAGATTTTACACAAATCGTTAAGGAAATACTGTCAACATCATTTTATCTGAGAATCATTTGCATACTGCTGTAATTTGTGCTAGAAAGCAAAGACACTTGTGACAAAAAGGATGAAGATAATCATTCACTAGGGAATTATCTATTAAGGGATTATTGGGGGAGAGAAGGTCCATCAACAGAATATATCCTCGTAGTATTTAGGGGAGAGAAAAGTCCATCGACAGAATACATCCTCGTAGTATTTCACCATGATCATCCCAACCTCAGACTGATTAGGTGAAAATGTCACTTATCACTTGGAATAGGTAACAGAGAGCCCTCTCTTAGAAAGGATACAGGTCAAAAACAGTTAAGATGAAGAACGACAGGTTCTACTCCCTCAAGAAACAAGAGATTGGACTAAACCTGAACAGAAGGGTCATTGTCAAAAGCTCATAGCCAATAAAGGTTGACGACAGTTAAGAGAGAACAGTTTCTCTTCTGGAATTCAACTGCATAAAATGATGTAAAATCTTTGAACTAACTAGTAAAGGACACATCACTGTTTCTGTGATAAAAGAGTTTTCAGAACTGCCTTAGTAAACAGAATGAAAATATAATCCAACACCAGTTCCATGATCCGCAATAGTCCCTATGAATTTCTCTGCCTCTTGCCCTGGGAGGTACCTGCTCACATCACACAAGGCAGAGTGGCTACTCTCCTGGTGACAAGGTAAATGAAAGGACAGAAATGAGCCTCAGCCTTCAGTACACCAAACTGACGTAGCTTACTGATAAGGGCAAAGCATTACTCAATCGGTTGACAAATGGGACACGTGTAAGAACATTACCAAAAATACTCTTAACCTCAAGATTAAACTGTTGGAGAACATCACTTGTCCAGCCTACAGTCAGCCATCCAGTGATCTAAAGGACCTAAAAGACATGATATTCCCCTCAATGTACTCCCCCTTCCCCTTCGCTGTAGTAGTTCAGTAATTTAACTAACATCCCCAGTTTCTTAATCTGTAAAAACAAAAAAGTAAATAAATAAGCTCTGCAAGAAATGGAATATTAAGCTTGAATTTTGATGAGTTTCAAAGCTTGTGACTAGATTTTGGGATAAGAGTGTAGCGTGTGGTGGCAGAGAAATTAAGGGCAAGAGGAGACAGAACAAATTGCTTCTTCCCAACTCCCTCTAGGGTTCATACCCTGAAATATACTAAAGATCAAGGGTCTAAAGGATCACCTCATGATCAACCTGTGAAATGCAAGTAAGAACATTCTGATAAGTGGCCAAATATTGGAACAGACTGAGTTGCTTTACTAAATATTCTTGTTAAATACTAACTTTTATCTGAATGACTTGTAATCTCTTCTGTTAATCTTAGAATCTAAACATATATAATTTAAAAGCAGACAATATATTCTGGATTTTGTGTATCTCGTGTTGAATTTAGCCATGTTACTGCAGCTAGCTATTAATACCTTAACAATTCCATTTACTAAGTGATATCCTGCTTAGAGGTATTTTTTTAGAGGTTAAAAAAATTGTTTAAAGAACCGCATATGAAAATACTATGTAACTACATTATGTTTTTTTCTTGACAGCATTTGTCTTCAGTATTGGGAGAGTTCTGAACCCCCTACACTGAATTAACAGAGCTCAAGCATGTTCTCCACTTTTATCTATGCTTTTCTACAAAAATTACAATTTCATTTTCCTATACCCCTGAAATTTTAAAAATGTCCTGCTGAAGTGTACAAAGATAAGGGTATGTGTTTTTCAAATATTATGAACCTAAAAATACTTCCACATTACCGTAATTTTATGTTTGTTTTGCCCTCTCTTAACCTAAATGTATTTTAGCCTTCTTTTCTACTCGTTCTCCCCGAAGCACACCACAAGGCACAGCAGTGACCTGTGAATGGTGAGCGAGTCAGGCCACAGGCTCACAGTCCTCAATAAGGACACGTGAGGGCACGGTGGGCTGAGGGTGGACAGTGAATAGCGTTGACTTTTCTTTATCCTGGACAACTCAGGAAGAATGCAGAACCGACAAAGTCAGTTAAACTGTGTTTCCTTTCCATTTAGCTTCTGAAGGAAATGGACAGTTTAAGTGTAACAGCAGAGCAGAACAAAGAGATCCCCTGGAGCCCGCAGGCTGCTGTGGGACTTCTGCAAGCATGGCATCAAGCTGCTAAAGGCTACACATTTCAGAGTATGTGGTGTCCCCCAAAGTTACAACTCCCTGACAGCTTCACCTTAGTGCCAGCCACAGTCCTGGTGAGAAAGGGAAAGAGAGGGGTTGAAGGAAAGGAAGTAAGGAAACCAATTGAGTTCAAAGGTGTCTGCTTTTGAAACAGTTTTAAGAGTCTGCCTATCTGCAGATACGTTTCCATTGTCTAGGCAGAAACGGAGTGTGTCAGAGTGGCCAACAAAATCTAAGAACAGAGTAAAAAGACAATGCAGATTATGTAACATGTCATTACAGTTAGGTTTAACAAATGTGAACTTCAAGTGGTGTATTTTTCCAATGCTAAAAAGCAATGCCTTTAAAATTCCATTATCTTAAGATGGTTTTAAATGATTACTTTAAATGTGATTATTTCCTAAACCACACAGGAGTAAAATAGAGCATTTATTGATGGAATAACAAAAGTGCTTTTCTTAAATATTCTTCAAAATACATTTGTACAACTTACAATAATATATCCAAAATAACTGTATATACAAAACATTGCCTAGTTTTAATGTATGTGCTTTTTTTCCCCAAAAATTACAAAGTAACTTCTTTTTTATTTTTTTTGGCAAAGTTCAACCTTAACAGAGGTGACAATTTTGAAGGTTGGTTTAAGAAAATAGAACCTGAGGGAAATTGACACGCAAGAGTCAATGACAAGCAAGAGATTTGGAGGAATATTTTTAGTTTGTTAAATAAAAATGTTTTTTTAGAGTGATACTTTTCACATTACAAAAATAAACCAAAATGAAGAAAAGGTCACTGTAAAATGATGGAAAAAGGATCTGTAGACTTGCTCTTAGTATTTCAAAAAGCCAACAATGCATGTCAAAAAATGAATGCAAGATCACAACAGTCTTGTATTTACTTTGTATTTGGAGAAGGTAGTGAAATAAGTGGCCACATTCTCTTTTCTTTTAATTGCTATTAATATGGTTGATCTGATTGGCTCTTCGATGAATTTCATCCAAGAAGTTCTCCAGTTGTTCTATTAGCATTCTTTTTTTAAACCTGTATGAAGAAATAAGTATAACAGCACTCTCAATTTCTTTTTAACAAATAGTTACATATCGGTATAATTTTTTTTTAAAGAGAAAAACTGCCTTGAGAAGATTTTTCAAAGTGAAATGAAAATGAAAAATCAACTTTATGATATATAAAATCTCTTAGCAAATTATTTTATCAGTACAGTATTATAGTGTGTTTCTAAAACAAACAATCCAGGCCTAGGTACAATGGATAAGAGGTTATTTCTTCCACAATAAAAAAGAAAACCAGGGGGGGAAAAACCTAATAAATACAAGGGTTATAAACATTCCAGGAATCTGGGTTCCCAAAGCAATGACTCCAGTAGGTTCTTATGCTCTATGAAAGTTCACTGTTGAAAGGAATATGAATAAAATGCAAATATAATCCCCCATAAAAGGGAAGAAATGAAATTTGGGCAGTCACATTTAAACTGTGATATTCTACTATTATAATTTGAAAACCAGCAACAAGTTAAGGACAATCAGACATCATCACTATAGGATATAGCAAACAGTTAAAAGTTCAAGTGAAAATTTTTAAATTTTTTCAGTAATAAATATAGTAGACTAAAATACTTTTGTACAGAAGTATGTGTACAGAAGTATGCAGATGATTTTTACTCTCCAAAAACACAGCCCAGTTGACACCTACTTCCTCTCTACTTGTAAACTAATAACAACTAACCACCATAATATTATACAACTCTCTAAAAGGTAACAGAAATAGAATTCAGGCACCAGGAATACAGCTAAATCTATGATGAAGTTTGAGTTAATAGAATGTTATATAAAGAGCAGAACAGGTTAAATATTCAAAATCAGCAATATAAAAAGTTATGGCCTTTATCTTGAAACTTCAAAGTAGCCCATGCTCTAGTCACTCATAGAGGGGGAAAAAAAAGGATTACTGGCTTTATCTTAAAAAAATAAAAACCTTTACATGAAGCATGGAAGAAATTGGTGGGGTGCATAATTAAAGGGTCAGTATCTTGGAAGATCAGATAAGATAAACCTTAAGTTTTCTTATAATACTAGAATTCTAAAAAGTCTTGAAGGAGAAATTTAAAAAACGCTTTTTTACTCACTAAACTCATACAACTATTCTTTCCAGTTAATTGCACTTTGTGGTCACCGTTTATAATCTTGATCCACATTCCTTGTACTAAAGTACATAATCTTGGGCTACTGAAGCAATCAGAATAAGGCTCATTTGTCCGGCTCTCGTCCCTTAATTACATGTTTTCCCACGTACGAGTGAACTCCTGCATTCAAATACTGCCTTTCACAGTTACTTTTAATCACTAATATTAACTGTAGTTCAAATATACAGAGAAAAATGAAAGACTGTAAAATACAAAGACATCAAAAAGCCACAGAGTAGGATAAATGAGAATAATGCCAGTACCTGTAATGTGGAGAGAGAAAGGGTTCATGATTTCTAAAGAAATTGTGTGTGGCTATTTTTTAAGTGACCTTAACTTTAAATAAACCAAAAACAAGAGAGAATTACTTATTTACACATTGGTGTGTCATATACATGCATAACAACACAAGTATAAAGTAGACACTGTTAAAATACCAACTATAGAAACTGGGGACTCATTTCATCATACGATAATGTACAACAGATTACTTACCTTGATGCTTCTTTAATGACATTTTGTAAAAATATTAGTCTTGTTTGTAAACTGCCTTGCACATGCTTCAGTAAAGTGAAGATTCTTTCATATTCTTAAGAGAAGCAAAAAGAAAAGTGGTGTTACTTTGCACACTTATTCAATATCTTTCTATTCTATCTTTCTATTTCTATTCTATTACAGTTTACTACACATCAAGATATACTAAAACAAAACCAAAAATAGTTTACCTAAAAATTTCACCATTCATTAGAGATTTTATAATACATATATTTCATCAGACATCAACAAAGATAAAATAACTTGTCAAACACTGCCTTTTCTTGGTAAAAGTTCTCATTAGGGAACTCATGTATGTATCAAACATACAGCTTAGAAGAACGAGTAAACAGCTTTTTGGTAGTGCCACTGAAAAATAAGAAGTGGCCTTTACAAAAATCCAACCTTATAACAAACTCTAAATTACAGCTAACATAGGGGGTGAATAAAAGAGAGGGAAAAAAAATAAACAAGAGTGCTGTCTCAACTTCAAGTTTTCATAAAACTTACAGTTCTCTATTTCAAGTTTTCACATAAAACTTAATAGTCCTCTGTCAAGGACTATAAGCTCCTAAAATGACCAGCACTGAGTCTTACCCACTTCTGGACCACCCATGGGCACCATCATAGCAGGTGATTTGTCCATATCTTCTGAATGAATATCAATAAGAATATTTAAACTTTATCTCACTAAGTTCTTCTCTACTCATATAACAGACAGCTTCATAATTTTAGTTTTTTTGGCCTAAACACCTCCCTGTCACTATTCTAGTTTAAATCTTAAAAGTTAAGATGGTGGGTAGGTACTGTGCCAAGAACTTTACAGATATGAAGTCATTTAATATTCACTACATCTTTGGGGTTTTTTTCTATTACCTTAAAATTCCAGTTGCTGGTTGGCAGAATGTTAAAGACTGTCAGTTCCTGTCATGGAGGAACCATGTGTAACTTTTATCTGTGTGTTCCCCTCCTCTACTCTTATCCCTCCTTACTTACCACACCTGACACAGTACTTTGGATATAGCAGATACTCGGTAAATGTTGACTGAATAAAGAATGGGATCTTATATAGCTGATATGTTGTTCTCAAGACTGATCTAAAATCAGATCTATGCTTTAGTTAATTTGACTTTTTTCTTAGAGCACATACAAAAATTGAATCTGATGTCTGTCTCTAATTATACATACTTCTTCCTGGCTTTCGGATCTCTTTCATTATTTGTGCTTTTAGTTCAGTGTTGACCTCTTCATGGCTTCTGCAATGCATCAATTTCTTTCCTTTGTTGAGTGAAGATGCTGGTGTATTCTCTTCAGGACATTGTTCTTTATCTCTGGGCTCCTCGTGATTTTCTAAAAATCCACCAACAGTGAGATCATTAGGTCCTAAGTGGTCGTGACCGAGAGCCTCTGTATGATTGGTTGGTCGTTCCAGTAAGTTGGCTGGAGAAGATCCTGAAAATTCAGCTTCCATAGCATTTGGTGTAATATCTGATGAAAGTTGGTCTGCAACATGATTTTCAACCACATCATCCATTGTCGAATCATTAGTGGCTTCAGAAACTAAAAATAAGGAAAAAAGAAAGAAAGATGAGAGCCAATTTCAAAGCACACAGAAAAGAAAATGTCAAAGAAACAAGATTGTAGCAAATCACAACTGATATCCTTGACTCTTAGAAATTAACAATGTGATATGGTTCTTAAGCTTTGCCATATATACGGTGTATTTCAATGTGAAACATTCACAGTATTTACAAAATCTGTACAATTTTTGCCTGGGGGGGGGGGGGAATAAAAGTTTAAAAAAGCTTTTCGTTTTCTTTTTTCTATGGCAATTTTATTGAATAAGTGGATTTCACTGCTTTAGGGAAACATATATGATCAAGATTATCATGGTTATCCTTTTATTAGAAAGTACTAGTTCATTCCAACTTACCTCTGCCTTATACAGTTACTATTTAGAGGCAAAAGTGAACACAGGAAGTTTAAGCTAATTCTGCAGCAACATGGCCCCAAACCTCCAGAGCGCCTTTCTTTATAACCATCCACATGGTCTTCACTACTTGAGCAATGAAGAGTAGCTGGTGCCCACTTCAGCTCACTAGACTAGACTTAAAAGGCTTGCAAGCTTGCCACTTAATATCAGATTACTGTATTTGCTCCCCAGAGAAAGCAGCTGAATTCTTAGTTCCCTGATTGCTCACCAAACCACCAGGACCCAGCTGAATTCATCACCTTACTATTCAAAATTTAAACTCCCCCTACACCCCAAAAATTCTCTGGACTTCTGACTCCCTTCCTCCATCCTAAATCTTTTACTCCATGATTTGCAAACTTCAATGATATTCTCAATAGCAACTCCTGTTTGAACTGAAATCCAACTCTTCTGCAAAGAAAGCCCTCTCTCTCAAACTCTCTCCATGGACTTAAAATAAGGAGGTGGAGTCACTAGTCCCTTTTCTTTTTTTTTTTTTTTGGTCCCTTTTCTTTCTAATGCCACTTCAAGAGCATTTTTCCACGCACTCATGTGAAAACTCTTGCTCTTTTCATCTATAAAATCCTTCTGTACCTCTTTTTTCTATGCCCCCCCCCCCCCCAGAAAAATACACCCAACACCAGATTCTTTGTCCTGTAATTTACCACAATCTGGATTTTGCTAATTATATCCCTGTAGATACAGAGGCTTGATCATATTGATGTTCATTCAGTATTTTGGGTGGCATATACTTCAAATGTAGTACTGTGTAATCCCATCAGGAGGGATCATATTTGGTTTCTCTCCAGTTAAGATGTTCTTAGCCATGAATGAGCACCACCATAATTATTCCATTAAACATTCCGTTCACCAATTCTCATTCTTCCCCAATAATATTCCATACGACTTAGTGACTGAACAACAAAAATGACTCCACATAGTAATGTCAGCCTGGTCTTTATGAAATGCTAATCAGATCAGATCACTACCTCTTTCAATGGATTTTCACTGTCCTTAGAATAAAGTCTAGAATCTTTTACAATGGCTTCCAAGACCCTCTATGATCTAGACTCTGCATGTCTATCTTTTGGCTCTCACCTTACCTCATTCCCAGCAGCCCTTGCTATACCAGAATGCTTCAGTTCCCTTAACGCCCTGCTCCTCACAGTATGCCTCTGTGTGTACTCTTCCTGTAAGAGGACTATTACTGTAACATACGCAAATGCACAGCTTCAGTTTACTAATTTCCATTCATCCATCAAGTGTTGGCTTAAACAGAACCTTCTCAGTAAGGTGCCTTGAGCCCACAGACTAAGTTAAATCCTCTTACCAAATACTTCCCCAAGTATACTTGACTTCCCTTTTGTAATATTCATCACACTTCTAAGGAAATGTGTGATGACTTTCTTTCCTCCTCATTATAAATGAAGGCAGAGATCACTATTGTCTGTTTACAGCTACATCTCAATGCCTAGCCCTGTCTAAATTAAGCATATCATTTAATAATTGGTTGCTGAATTAAACAAATTGAAAACCATCTTTCTATGGGTATTAATAATGCCCCTTTAAAAACTGTCATTTCTAAATGCTAAAGATTTGCAAATGATATTTCAAATCATGATAGCTATTAAGCATAATGAATGAATATATGAAATGTTCATTAAAAAGACATAAAAAATGATTACATGCTAAGTTGGAATAAACAAATATCTTCTCTAGACACTCTTGGAACTTTATCCACTTTATCTGTATCAGAAAACTCTCTCCCATGAAGAACCAAACTAAAAGCAGCAAATAATGTTTAAAAAAAACCCTTACTTTTATGAAGAGGAAGGGGTTTAATGAGATCTGGCTGTGCTTGGGTCATAGGTACCGGTGGTCCTTTCCCTCCAATGTGATTGTTCACAACTGGGTTCTGCTGTCGGCCTCTCAGCAGCGGAGACATGCAGCGTCGTCTCTTAGGGATGCCTTGCATATTTGGTTCTCCAGGTCGTTTATGTTTATTTTGAGGTCCAGCCACAAATTCATCTGCCTCATCTATCATCATACCCTGTAACAATGAAGAATTTCCCTGACTTTACATAAGGTTTTCAGTTGTATGACAAACTCCAATTCCCATTAAACTACATTTTAACGATGTTGACATAGTATTCTACCAAGAAAATGGTTTCGGCTTACTTTAGTTAAACTAAGAACTGTTAAATCTACTGTGCCTCCCACAAAAAAAAATTATATAATGGAACACTTCAAATTTACCTTTTTATCCAGCTTAAAGGGGTTGCCAAATGTATGCAACCTCCGAGGCTGATCAGGATCAAGTTCTCTTAATGGAGAAGGTACTTGCTTGAGGTATTCCTGGTAATTCCCCATTTGTGCTATAGGAACACTGTGCACTTGATCTTTTCAAACAGAACAAAGCAATAATAAAAGTTAACTTCGCTAAAACTGCATTCCATTTAGTTAACAAATAATGTGTTCTTATGTATGAATGCTACCTGGTCTATTCTAGGCAACTTTTCCTTACCATATATTCTAAATTAGTTCATTGCTATTATAAATATTGTGACATAAAATCTTGAGTGCTTTTTAATAAAATTTTAAATAATCAATTTTATCTTCTAAACAAAGCAAAAATATTGCAGTTAGTTTCAGTATTCTAAACAGTGAAAATGTCTATGAAAATGTCTCTTCTATTCTACTCCAAAGCAGAATTTAGTTAAAGCATAATTTACAGAAAAGAGGTATCACACAGATGATCCTTTTCATATAAAACTATAGTTGAAATGTTTACATCAGAGTTAGCAAAGGGTTAAGTTCTCATCTGACGTGATTTGTAGGTGCCAAAGGTATGATTAAGGAAATACTAGAATATGACATATATTGGCCATTCCGAGTTAAACTATCAGATACTAGTAGATCACAAGAAAATGATTTTGTGTGTGCCTGTGTATGTGAATGTATGAAGAAAGCCATAAGGAAACTAAGCTATTACCAAAGGTTGTTTCCTCTGGAGAACAGAATTTGGGGCAACAGTGATGGTAGGAAGAAGTGTAGAGAATTAGAGATGACTCAACTTTCTACTTCATTCAATGAGAATGTAATATTACAGTCTCAACTCTTTAAAAGTTACAATAACACTCTGTATTTTCAATATAAAGAAAAGTTTACTGAAGAAATACTAATATTAAAACCATGATCTAACCTTCATCCTGTCCTTTAAGAAATCTGCGGGTGCTCTTCAAAAGATTAGATCTCATTCTTGTTAAGTGATCCAAAAGATTCCGTCTTGGTATGTCATATGCATTTCTAAACGTCTGTGGCTTCAAATCCTGTTTTAAAAAGATTCAAAGACAAAATGTATTTTGAAACAGAATTAAAAGAGACTAAAATCTCTAGCCTGCAGCACAGCTTTGAAAATAAGATATACAAGTCAACTAATTAGCTTAAAAAAATAGAATAAAGGGATATGATACCATCGTAATGTACTGTTTTAATAACCAAAAGATAAAAACTCAGTAGTGAAGCTCAACCGAATTATCTCAAATTCACATCTGTCCAAGATTTTATTATGTATTCTGGCTAAGAGAAGTAAATAAAAGCTTTGATATGTAATTTACATACCATAAAACAACCCATTTTACATAAACCGTTTGAGTGTTAGTAAATGTACAGTTGTGAAACCATGACTAGTATCAGTTTTAGAACATCCCCATCACTCCACAAGGTTCCCTGTGCCCACTTGCAGTCACTCTCAATTCCTATCCCCACAACCACCAATCTGCTTTCTGTCTCTCTACGTCCCATTTCATAAATGGAATCTTGCAATATGTACTGTTTTCTGGCTTCTTTCCACAAGCATGTTTTTGAGATTCACCCATGTTGTTCCTGTACTGGTAGTCTATTCCATTTTACTGTCTTTTCCTTTTTACATGGATATACTGTATCTTTATCCATTCACCAGTTGATGAACACTTGGACTGTTTTCAGTTTGGGGCAATTAGTAACACTGCTATGAATATTTGCATACAAACCCTTTATACACACATATTTTCATTTATCTCAGTAGATACCTACAAGTAGAATTGCTGGTATATAGCAACATTTACCTTTCCTAAGAAACTGCAAATTAACTGTTGATAATTTTCAACAATGTGTAAGAGCTCCAGCTGTTCTATAACCTCACCAATACTTCATATTTTTCAGTCTTAAACTTTAGCCATTCTAGTGGGCATAAAGTGGGATCTCACTGTGGTTTTAATTTGCATTTCCCCACTTGACTAATAATGTTGAACATCTTTTCACCTGCTTTTTCAAGTTTGTATATCCTACCTGGTAAGATGTCTATTCAAACATTTTGTATATTTTTTTATTGGATGCTTATCTTTTTATTATTGAGTCTTAGGATGTCTTTATGTATTTTGATACAAGTGCTTTATTCAACATCTGCTTTTCTCCCAGGTTGTAGCTTGTCTGGGAGAAACTTCAAAGTTTCTTCTGAAGACAAAAATTATAATTTTACTAAGTTCAGTTTATGAAGCTGTTATATGTATGTGCTTTTTGTGTTGTATTTTAGAAATCTTCATTGACCCAAGATCCAACATCTTATAGATTTTTTTCCTGTAAAAGTTTATAGTTTCAGTTCTTACATTTATGCCTATGATCATGTTAACTAATATAAGGATCAAGTTCATTATTTTGCAGATGGATAGCCAACTGTTCCCACCCTATGTGTTGAAAAGACTGTCTTCTGACCCACTGAATTATTCTGGCATCTTTGTTAAAAATTAACTCTATATGAAGGTGTACTTCTGTTCCACTGACCAAAATATTTCTCCTCATGCCAGCAACACATTATGTTGATCACTGCAGCTTTACAGTAACTTTTAAAATTAGTGCAAGCTTTATTCTTTCCCAAAACTGTTTCAGCTACTCTAGGACCTTTATACCTCCATATAAATTTTAGAACCAGTCTGTCAGTTTCAACAAACAGGCAACTGGGATGAAGATCTTTTTAATAATGAGTATTCACAAAGCATTTTAGGATTATACTGTGTACCCAAGGTCAGTAGTATAAGTGCCAAACTACAGTGAACTCTACTATTAGCTATGTAACTTCAGGCAATCTCTAAGCCTGTTTTCTATCTATAAAATGAATATGATGGTTTGCTCTTCGTCAGTCCAACTGCTCATGCACTCACCATGAAGTGTTTTAAAATTCAATGATTCAATAATATTAATACCATAACTGATCATTATTCTGCAGAGGTATAGAAATTTGGACAAACTGGGTATCAGTTAAGAGAAAACTTGAAATATTCGACAATATAGACTATTACTAGAGCAGTACAAAATTCACATAACTATTACCTTATTGAGCAAAGCAACTTGGAACCCAGTGTATTCTTTCATATTAAGGTCCAGCAGTCTGTGAGGAACATCCTCTGAAATTCCCTGGAGCAGCTGTTGAAAATCTTTCCTATAAGCCATTGATAAACCATGTGATCTGCTTCGGACTTTAATTCCAGTTTCCTGTACTACTTTTTTGCCTACAGAACCGATGACTCGATCAGATTCTATTTTGGCCTAAAGCAAAAATAAATAAAAGCTGTCTTGACATGATCTGAACTGGTAAATTAAAGGCTAAAAATAGTTTCAGTCTTTCATAAATAAAGTATTTGTCACATTTTAAAAGAACATAAGAAATTAAAAACTAAAGTTATGTAGTCTATGTCAGTTGCTTGGTAAACTGAACACAGTTTAAACAATAACGTCTTATGATTTTAAATCACCACAATTCTTATCTTTTGGAGAAAATCACACAAACGCAACTTTGATTTATTAACACTCACTACACTGAAACCATGATATGTTAGTTAATACACCCTAAATAAAAATTCCCAATTCAGAGGTGATATAAAATTAGAAAACAATCTTATCAATATCTACTTAAAGCCATTATTATTAGCACATAACTAAATGCTCACGATAAAGCAAACAGCAATATTTTGACTCTTCTAACCTACATTTCAATTAGCAGTTGAAGTAGAAATGGCGAAAGTACTGGAAAAATTATGCTTTATACAATTTTAATAACTTGGCAGTCAAAGGGTATACTGCTGGACTAATCTGGTATCTACTAACATGATTTATGTCCAAAATGACAAAATTCACTATTTTTATACATATTTCAAAATAAATCCTCATTTTTAAAGAAAATGCTATAGGTTTTATAACATAAAAGAAATTGATTTTTTTTAACTAAGAAAAACAAATTTCTAACAAATTTCCCAAAAGAAAACATAAGAAATGTTACATACAAGGGGGCTAGGATCACATTAATAAAGCAATTTTCACAAACTAGAAATTATTATTTGAAATTATCATTTCAAAACACAGCATACCATGCACTTGAGAATTATGTTAATATATATGTGGTTTTAAAACATAACCTATTAATATAATTCTACTAGAACCATCAAGAACTAGTATCTGGCCTATTGACCACCTTAGCCAATACCATTCAAAATACTTAATGGCTCTATTTCTTAACATTACCTGCTGACTCAGTTTTTTGAGGTATGAAATGACACTGTAACTAAGTCCATATTCCATACTGTCTGCTATTAGGTTAGGTGCTCCCATCATTCTAACAGCTTTCTTCAAAGGCTACAGGAAAAAAAGAAAATATCACACTCAATCCTAAGCTTGTCATAAATTTATAGCCATGAAAAGTGAAAGTGAAAGTTGCTCAGTCATGTCTGACTCTTTGCGGCCCCATGGACTATACAGTCCATGGACTCTCCAGGCCAGAATACTGGAGTGGGTAGCCATTCACTTCTCCAGGCGATCTTCCCAACCCAGGGGTCAAACCCAGGTCTCCTGCATTGCAGGCCGATTCTTTACCAGTAGAGCCATGTATGTATTGTCAATTTTGAAAAATTCACCCCCGCAAAACCTCTCCTTTTCTTCAATAAGGGTCACATAATCATATTTGTACTTCATTAAAATGTTTGTCAGTGGTATAAAAGGCAGTTTGAAATACTAAACAAGGATTAGAGGCTATAATAACAACCCCCAGAGTAAGAAAGGGTGGAGTCCTGGACTTCTTAGTATCATTTGGAAGAAGAGGGCAGGAGACACATTGCAGATGTAGATTTGATAGAACTTGGGGGGTAAGTGAAAAGAGGAATCAAGGATAACAGAAGATTCTTACCTTGGGTAAGGATAGACTAAGAATAAGAAATACTTTGTGCAATGAAAAATGTCACTGCACAACAGTCTAGCATATGTGAATGGGACAGAGTCAAAAAAAGGATGACAGCCACCCACTGACATATTACAAAGTGTATAAAAGCACTGGTGTCAAACTGGAATCAAATCCAAGACCCGATATTTAATATCCCTGTGGCGTTGGCTAAATCCCCTCAGATGCTATGAAACATGAGCCAAACATACGCAGTAGTTCATACTCCAGTGTTTCCTCCTTTCCCCTCTCTTACATAGCTGGTACTATCTGCTAGACACACACAGTTTTTCTCTTGCAACCATAATATATGATTTCAAAGCTTAAGAAATTAATGTTATCAGAGACCATTTAGAAAGATTACAGCCGAACACTACAATATTCCTGCAGTAAAAGCAGAAGTAATGTTTTAATAAAGTGTTCTAGAAGTTATTTTTCACAAAATCAATAAAGTAATTACTTGCCTGGAGAATCCCATGGACAGAGAAGCCTGGGAGGCTACCATCCATGGGGTCGCAAAGAGGCAGACATGACTTAGCAACTAAACAACAATAATGTATTTAATAATATATGTATTACTGGTTCTATTGTGATACTAGGTTTCAGGGACTGTTTCTTGAGATTCAGAGAACAGCACAAACAAACCTCTTTTTGTACCTATAAGGAGAAATAATTATATAAAACTGCAATTTAAAAAGGTTAATTGTAAAAGTTTAAATTCTAAAGCCAGCTGCCTGGGTTTGAATTCCTGACCCTGATATTATTAGCTGTGTAGCCTTAGATGAATTGTTTAATTTTTTAGTGCCTTAGTTTCCACATTTGTGAAATAAAAAGTTATTTCTGCCTCATACAGTTACCATATAAATTAAATGAGGTTAACACATGTAAAGTGCTGAGGATAGTATCAGCATGGATACTGGTATGATATCCAGTATCATACCTGGATAAGCATTATATATATTGTCACCATCATCATTATTCTGCAAATCACCGAAACATTTCTTTATCATTATATTTATACAGGTCATTTATAAATTTTTCATGATATTTATTTTGTAACAGCAATAAATAAAATCTTTAATGTCTACAGTAAACTATAATACAAAATTTTATAATAAGTTCTATTTTTAACAATAATATTCTTACCCCAAGATAGTAGGGAGGCATCGTCTTCAAATAACTTTCAAATGACTGTCTCCATTTCAATGTTGGTTTTGCCTTATGGACCTTAAACAGATCATCTATAAATGAATGCATAATGAGAACAAACTGTCATCATTCAGTGTTTTCACACATGAAAACCAAGTCAAGTAAGTTTCATTTTTAAAGTTTGCTTTCTTATTTACAAGAGAGAGAGGAAACATCAATTCTATTTTTAACAAAATTAAAGGTGATAAATGTTTGGTTATGACATTTTTGAGTAGTAATACCACTTTAAAAATGAAAGGGTACCAATTAAGGTTTCAAATTAAATGTAATAATAAAGGTAGAATGAGAAAATACACAAAGAAAACCGAGATATGAAACAGACAGGAATACAGAAAGTATACATGAACACATACCTACTAATATTTTGTCTATTAACCTTTAAATCTGGTGCAATTCCATGAAGGAAAAGATGCCTTCTCCAATAGCACCCCTCAAAAAATTACAGCCAAAGGGTCTCAAATCAACTTTAGGCTTATCATTATTATTTATAATATTATTTTAGAACAAATTCATTCACTAAAAAGTTTGCCAAAAGAAAATTCTTAAAAAGAAAAATACTCAGCTCTAAGAAATATGCTTCTACAAAATATCTTAATTATTTACCATATACAAAATGTGCATTACTAATTCTAACTATGTAAGATATCTAATTTGCAAAAAACTTAGAATATTTAATTTAGCAAAATATAGTGTCTTCAATAGTTTGTAGAATCAAAGGTGTTTGACACTGACTTTCATATATCAGAAACATGCAGAGGTTGCTATAAACCCTAACAGCTTCAATATCTTAGAATACTAATAAAAATCTTCACTAATTTCCAGAAGACAAGAAAACTCAGAAAGGGAGGGATGTTCGCAAAGATTGCTTTTAGGAAAATTCATACGTATGCTAGGCCACAGTGAACATGACGAGAAGGACTCACCTAAAAGGGGAAGGAGGACTGGGTAATTGTAAGGCATCACAAATAAGTTGACACAGTTCAGTGCTGTACTGGCTTTCAAGTAACCAAAGGGATGGCCAAGTTCACTGTACTTTGCACTATTGCTCACATATACCTGTTAAAAAGGAGTAGTTAAAAGTTCACATTTAATAACCTTTGCAGAATATTACATAAACCATGGATTCAATCTGACTTTTTTTAAAACATCAAATTAAAAAAAAGAAAACATCAAATTAAATTTTTAGAGGTTCTAATATTGAGTGAAGAGCTGACTCATCTGAAAAGACCCTGATGCTGGGAAAGATTGAGGGCAGGAGGAGAAGGGGATGACAGAGGATTGAGATGGTTGGATGGCATCACCGACTCAATGGACGTGGGTTTGGGTAGACTCCGGCAGTTGGTGATGGACAGGGAGGCCTGGCGTGCTGCGGTTCACAGGGTCCAAAGAGTTGGACATGACTGAGCAACTGAACTGAACTGAACTAATACTGAGTGAAATTAAGTCAGACTGAGAAAGACAAATACCATGATATTGCTTACATGTGAATTCTAAACAAAAAGGCTACTAATGAACTTACCTACAAAACAGAAAGAGTTATAGATGTGAAAAGTAAATTTATGGTTACTGGGGGGTAAAGAGGCAGGGAGGGATAAACTGGGAGGTTGCAACTGACATATACATACTACTGTCTATAAAACAGATGGAACTAATGAAGACCTACTACTATACAGCACAGGGAAGACTACTCTGTAATGGTCTACCTATATGGAAAAAGAATCTGAAGAGAGGCTACATATGTGTGTGTGTAACAGATAAACTTTTGCTGTACACCTGAAGCTAATGCAACAACAATGTAAATCAATTATACCTCAATAAAAATTAAATAAATATATTTTTAAAATCACTACAGTCTTTCAGCTTACCTGCCAACATGTCTGAGGAGATTTTCTTTCCAGGATAAACTGAGTCAGCGGTGAAGGTTCCAACTCATATTTGTCAAAAGGCAATTTGTCAATAACCATTGGTTCACAGTCTGTACAAGAAAACTTCACTACAGGATGAGATGTACGAGGTGGCTAGAAGGCAAAGTCTTATTGTTACTCTTTCACAAAGTACCAGAAACAAACTTTTTGTATCCCTCACTATCAAAGTTTACTCAGTTTCTCAGTTTCACTAGTGAGAGTTTAATTTACTATCAAAAGCACCACTAAGCTAAAAGATAATACTTAAAAAATGTAATGCTTAAACTATCAATATTCACAAGAAAAAAATAGATGAAATACTTCAAAATCTGTACAGGATTAAAAATTTTTAAGTCTTAAAATCAAATTCATCAGAAAACTTAAATGCAATATTTTAAAATTAAGTAAGTGCTCATTAATTTTTACATCTAACAAGAAGTTAATGTAATTAGAAACCTTCCTAAGGCCACAGTTGTAGCAGTTTAACTACCTGATTTCCAAACTGATGATGCACATTGATCAGTACAAGGTTTTATATATATAGTTGTAAATTATTAATTTATAGGTATATAATATATACCAAAATACTAATAGAAAAAAGAAAACAAAATAGAAGTTCTACTGGTTTCCTTCCATATTCCAGTAAACTACTGGTTAGCCCTATGGTAAATATGCCCCACTCTGGAGACCCTGTTCTAAAGCTGCAAAAACTGCAAATACTTTTAAAGAAGAAAAAAAAAAAGGCATGTTACTCTATTCCCCCTCTTAACAGTCTCCTTCCTAAAAATCTCACCAAAAGAAGACTGGTGAAGAAAATACGAGCTATGAGGAAATACTGTGAAATTTCATAAATATAAAGGACTCCTTTCAGCTTCAGTTACTATCTATCAATACATACACTGGTGGCTCCCAAAACTACTGTCTTGGGATCATCTCTCATTTCTCTTCATGTATCCAACCACCTACTGGACATAACCTGAATTTTCTATAGGTCCCTCAAACACAGTATTACACAATTCATTATTTCACCCCCAAACCACATAACCTGTTGTAAAAACCTAGATGTTATCCTTAATTATCTCCCCCTTACCCTCCATACTTAATTGTCACAAAGACCTAGATTCAGCAATACCACAAATTCTAAGTCACTTAGCAAACACATAAATATGGTGCAGATGCTCACTACTTTAGATACTACCCTCTGTCAATGTTAAATCCTCATCTCTCTGAAAATTTATCTTCTATTTCTTACCACTCTAATTCATGCCTTCATTTCGTAGACTAGATTAGTACAACTGTGTACTTTTAATTAGTATCCCTAATTAGTCAGCCCCCTCCAATCAATCCCATGGCCATGAAATATAATCATATAATTTTCCTGCCTCAAATTGTTGAGTAAAAGTAGCATCTAATCACCTAAAAATAGGGCCAGACTCTAGGGTTTTTCTTAACAAAGAGCCTTGACCGTATGTTCCCTATCTGCCTTTTAACCACCACCCCATATACACCCTGTGCCGCAGCCTTAAAAACAACTCGCAGCGTGTTATCCCTGGCTGCTTTACTGTGTTCTCCCTTGCATAATGCAAACAAAAGTTCTGAAGTCTGAACTGCCAAGTACCAACCTCTAAGAGGCTTCTTTCCTGACACACTCTTACCACGTACCCTAAACCCATACCAGGCAGTTAGGTACCACCTCATCCGGCCTCTGCTCCACCACTGTGACAGGTGGCACGCTGGGCTCTATGATGTTTATACGGCTGACCTTCCTACGGAAGGTTCCAGACGGGAAACATCATGTTTTAACTCATCTTCTGCTCCTGTGCCTGTCACGTACCTGACAAACAGCTTATTGAATCAGTCTATGAAATTTATGGGGTTTTTTTGGATGAAAATACTAAGATCCATTTAATATCCAAAATAATCGTATGAGATAGGAGTTATTATCTTTATTTAACAGATGGTAAATTGAGGCTTAAAGAAGATAATTAACCAAAGACACATGGTTAATAACTGGTAGAGCCATAATTCAAATTCAGAACCAGTCTCTAATAAATCACATTTAAATTTCAGTATCAGTACCTCTTATATGAAATCCTATTGTTTATAGAAATCTCATTTCCCCTCTAATATACTTCAGTTACTAAAATTTGCCAGTTCTTTCCAGTATCTCTTTTTTAACATTCTCTCTTCCATCATCTTAATTCAAACTCTTACTAGCTCTATTGGGCTTCCCTGGTGGCTCAGATGGTAAAGAATCTGCTTGCAATGCCAAAGACATGGGCTCAATCCCTGAGTTGGGAAGATCCCCTGGAGAAGGAAATAGCAACCCACTCCAGTATTCTTGCCTGGAGAATTCCATGGACAGAGGAGCCTGGTGGGCTACAGTCCACGGGGTCACAAAGAGTCGGACACGACTAAGTGACTAAGCACAACAGCTCTGTGTTAAGTGAACTATAGCAATAGTCCTCTAGGTGAACAGCTTACCTGCCAATTAATCTCCTGATTCTGCTGCATATAACAATCACCAGATTAATTTTCCCAAAGGAACATTCTGTTAAAAATGTCTTCAGTTCTATGAACCCCACTGAGAAAAGCTCAAATTCTTTAACCTTGCATGTAAAGTCATGAGCAATCTAGTTTCTTTAATAATATTCTCAATGTCCTACAGACATATTATGAACCACCTATCCTCAGATACTTTCCATTCCTCTAAATTCACCTTGTTCTTTCCTACTTCCATACTTTCAACATTGTTTCCTGTTCCGACTAAAATCCTACCCACATTCCAAAATCCTCTATGGCTTGTAATAATTTGCAATAGACCACTAGAGTAATATTAATAGATAATGCTTGTGATACTGGTTTTGGATTTCTTCCTATGCGGACTCAATACGTACCATATGTACTACTGTAGGTGTTAAATATAACTGAATAAACAACAATAGAATATTTCATACAAAAATGTTCTTGAAGAATTCTGAAAGGCTCCAGAAGAGAAATTAAAATGACCAAAGAAATCGAGAGCTTCTCTAAGGTCAGACTAAAAAACTATGATGGTTCAATAAAAAAAAATGAAGACGATCTCTCACTGAAATGTATAAAACCTTTATTTCATGTACTACTTCATTAAATCCCTAATGAACAAAGGCAATATCACAGCTCTTATATAGAATAAAAGCAAAAAATTATCCTGAAGAGTTGATACAGATTTAAAGTATAAAAGATTTCAAAGAGTTTAATTCATAAATGATAGCCACATCAAACATTATTAAAGACTACTTAATGATCTTTGAAATAACAATTCTTATCTTCTAAGGATAACATCAAAAGAACCACTGTCAAGCTCTCCCACAAAATATTCCAGTGTCCTCTGAGTTACTACAAAAAAGACAAATCTGAAAAATGTGTATTAACAAGACTGAATAGATATTTGTCTAAATTTACCCTATTATTATAAAAACCATATAGTGAATACTGATAATTCACCATGATCACTCAAAAAGCCACTGTTACTAAAAATAATTCCTAAAAATAAGACCAGAAAATCTTTTCTATCTTAAACCTCTAGACTGAGAACACTGAATATAACTAAAACTATGCAAATCAACATGAATTTCTAAGACTAAGTCCTAAAAGGCTGCATGGAAAACATCAAAATTATTTTGTAACCCTTCATTTAAATTCTGTATTATGTCCCTGAGAACAAATCCTTATGTTATTTATAAATTGAGGATATATATCTATGATTCTGTAACAAGATGCCAATAATAAAAACATAAGCATAACTTTAGATTCAAGAGGAAACCGATGCCTTTTTTCTATTATTTTATAATGAACAACACAATATACTAAAGCAAGTAACAACTTATCATAGCACTTGAACATCTGTCTAATTCCTATATAACAGCCACACCTTTAACTGACAGTAGTACTTAAAGCTAGTATGAAAAGCAGTTACTATTATGAAGTCACAGTCTCTGGTACTTACTAGTGTTGGAGAATTTTGATCTGGCCAAAAAGATTCTGGAACAGGCCAATGACCTATAGGAACCCCAGTTTTAGGATTTGGTCTGACATAAATGAGTTTGTGACAACTATGCCAAGGCTGAGATCCAAAAGGTCTTGATATATCTGGCTGCCCATCTATAGCAAAGAAATTTTAAAAAGTAAATATCATTAAAAGAAAAAATATAAGAAGTTCAACTATGTCTAATATTACTTAGTAAAAATATCTTAATACTTGTTCAGTTCTGGATTTTCCTGTTTTTCTTAAACGGTAGAATACTATCATGACTAAGCCTTTAACATTTAGATTAGATCAGAATTCATGAGAGGGTAACATCAGCAAATTTCAACTCTGAGTTCCACATTTGAAAGGAGGTCCCACAGCATCCTTTGCTTGCCCAATGAGAATATGTAAAACATACCTCATGGTAAATACTTGTTTAACGAATGACATGCTTTCCCCCACCAGATGATAAGGGCAAATAATCAATTTTTTCATCATCATGCTCAGCTTAGTAAATACTAGGTAACTATGGCTAAGTAAGTATTTTTTAAAAATCATTTTACCTAAAGCCTAAAAACTAGAACAAAAGTTTAATATATAAATCCAGACTTGAGGCACCTACCGTTAATCTAAAACAATCCAAGAAAATGGTAACTCTCTTCAAATATTTCTCAGTAAATATTTACTGAGTGCCTAATTCTAAGCAAAGTCCTAAAATAATTTAAAAATAAATATATTCCATGTCTAACAATTCAGTTCTTTAAGGTTTGTTTTTTTAAATCAGACACAGCAATACAATTTATATAATCTTTCCATCTTCGGCTCTCATCTCTATGACCTTTCTCTTCTCCCAGTTACCCACTCCACTGCCTTACCTCTGCCAAAGTGTCATTAACGACTTTCTAATTCTGGTTTTAAGCTATGTCGTACAAGGCAGAGGGTCCAGATGTAAGCCGTCCGTTGGTTCTGGCAAAACTCCTTATACCCTCTGGCTAATATAAATAGTTCATGATCACAGAATATTAGAATAAAGCCAGGCAGGACTCAGCTAGAGTTAAAAGAATGAAGTTGAAAAGCAAAGGCTGGTTTCTCATTTTTGGAACCACACCAACCATTTGTTTCTGATCAGTCTGATCTTTAATGAAAACTATAGCTAAAGAATTAAATAAACACCTAGGGCTGAACACTCCTGTGAATCAAGGGACATGGGAGAGGCACATACACTGGAGAGAGTCAATGTTACAATACTAAAAAAGGAAATCCACTATTCTGTTAACGTTTAAAAAGGGTTTTAGCTCTTACAAATTATCAGCCTATGAACAACCAATATAAAAAGGCAATACAACCAAACCACTATCACACAACCTTGACTTTCCTATTTAATCGTGCCATTTTACCAATAGCTCTTTTGTCATCTTAATAATCTGGCCTTGTCAATGTTAAAGCCAAATCATAGTAATTTTTCGGTTCTAGCTGAATACTTGATAAAGCAAGTTTAAAATGTCTGTAAGAAAATGACAATAATACCTTCTACAGGGGAAGGATCTGGTCCTGCTTTCTCAAAGTTTATTACTACCCCACTTTGTACTTTCTGCACCAAGGATTCTAGACACTGATTAAGCATTCTTGGAGAACATACAGAGTATGAGCGGCCTGAAACAAAAAAAATAAAGTGAACTAGTTAGTTGCAAAAATTCCTACTTTAAGCAAAAATGAACCATAGTGGGGTTTTTGACAATACTGATTCACAAAAGTTCAATGATAAAGTTTGGACTTTTCATTATCTAATGGAAGAATAACAAAAAAAGTTATTTCCAATCAACAATTCCATTTTATGAGAGTATGTAAGTTTTTTTTCTAATTAAAGGTACATGGAAAATAAAAATATTAATGGTCTGAACAAACAATGAAAAAAATCATTACATATATACAGTGTATTACATGAAATGAAATTTTTTAAAAAGTATATATATAAATATAAAGAACTATTTTCCAACTGAGTTCCAATATAATTTATCTTTACTCCTGCTGAAAAAAAAAATCACTAAAAATTAATGCTAAGGACATAGAAGATACTCAATAATTATTTAAGTGATCTCTGCTGGCAGATACCACATATATTAAATATTTGCACTTTAATATAATACACAGCAGCATGTGCTTTTCTGAATTTCATCTGACTAACATACTTAGAAATTACCTATCTTAAATGAATTTTCCTCTTGAATATTTTACTATAAAACTTTTAGTTCAGAAGCATTAAAATGATAGTGATTAAGAAAAAACATCAGTGGAAAGACTTCTTTAACAGGGATTTTTCAATAAATATAGCCAGATCTGTGCTGTCCCATACTGCAGCCACTGGCTGTATATGGCTACTGTGAACCTGAAACAGAGCTAGTCCAAATTGAGATGTACAGTAACTATAAAAAACATATACTTCATTTTGTAGACATAATATGATAATATGAAATAACTCAGTAATTTTAAAACATCAATTTCACATTGAAATATTTTATGTTAATTTAAATAAATGATTCTATACAAATTAATTTTACCTGTTTTTAGGGTTTTTGTTGTTTTTCTTGCTTTTTTTTTTTTTTTTGGTCATACTACATGGCTTGAGGTCTCTTAGGTTTCCCCAACAAGGGATTGAACCCAGGCAGTGAAAATGCAGAGTCCTAAGAACTGGATCACCAGGGAGTTCCCTGTTTCTTTTCAATGTGACTACTATAAAATTTATCATTATATATGTAACTTACATATTTATATGTTCTGATCCAGATCAGTGCTTAAAACCATGACAACTAAAAATCCTTAATCAAACATTCTACAGTGTTATTTGTAATAAGCTCAACATGGAAAAACTCTTATTCCTTAACAAATTCAACCAATTACTACCAAACATATTATTATACTTGACATATCACATTACTCATATCGATTTAAACCTAACACGTGATTTGCTAAAGGCTACTCAGAAAAGAGAATATTAACATTAGGCAATAGTGTGATTCAACTCCTCAGAGTCAGCTCTACTTAGGAAAACAAGTATCATGTAACAAATGGTTTACCTGGATGCAACAACGAAAGCCGTAATTATAAAAATACCCAGCAATTACTGAGTGTCTGTGCACCTGGCACTATCGTAATCACTCTATTATATTAATTTCTCTAATCCTAGCAACAATCATATGGGTTACTTTCTCCATTTTACAAATGAGAAAACTAAGGCACAGAGGGGTTAATTTACCCATATTAGTTAAGTCAGTACAGTAGAGCAGCCAAGACTCAAACCCTCACAAGGCATCAGAAACACTCATCTGGGTACACCGCCTTCTTCCCTGAAAACCATGATGTTAACTTGAAATCAGTATTTAAAATAAGAAAGTTTATATGAACTGAAAGACTTCGCAAATTAAAAATTTTTCGAGTCAATTTAAACACATACATAAAAAGGCTGATCATCTTAATAAATAAGGTATTTAGGAGATTATATAAAGGCTCAGTATCTAAACACATTCCGACGATGTCAATAAAAACAAAAGTTCCTAAATATAAAATTGTGGCAATCCTCTACACTTCTCTAACCTGTGTCATCAACTGACTGATTAGGAAAATATAAGTAAGTTATGATCTTTGTATGACATAAAATTACTAACAAAGATATTTTATGAAAATTAGAGAATAGTAAATAAACTTGAATCACTTAGAAAAATAATAAAAATTCATTAACTCCTTTCAAAGTTAAAGCAAATTTAGATAACTTTACAAAGTGAGCCCACAACCTATGTCATGTTTCTCTTATTCTTTATGTCAAAACTTACCTCTTGGAATGCTTGATACTTTGTACTAAAGGATAAAGTGTCTAAGATCACTCACATTTGTGAGAAAAACACACACTTTCAAGCCAAGAAGCTGGTTCACTTATGTTTACGTAGGGTCCACAAAAAAAGAAAAAACTCTAAACACAGCGATAAAGTGGAAAAAAGAAACCAAACAACTTTCATGGATTAAGACACAAAAGTAGTAATACTAAGTTGGGCAACAGTCCTATTTACAGAAGTTAAGAAAGCTAAATTTATTTAATCTAGAAAAGTCTTACAATTTTTATATAATGCTTTTTATCCTAAGTACTTCCACCAACATGTCTACTAGGTATTTTTAAAATTTGATATCATCCTTGTGCCTCCCCCTAACCTGCTTCTCCTGAGTAACCATCTCAGTACATAGCATAGCCATTCACCTCCAATTGCTCAGACCAACTGAATTACCCAGAAATCATCCTTGATTCCTTCTTCCTTCACTACCCTCAGTCTTTCCTTTCCATCAGACCACCTCTCACCATCTCCGAACATAAACACTTGAGATCAAAGTACCATCATCTTTCCTGGTCTCCCTGCTTTCATTCCCATGTTACAGTATATTCTCATCTAGCAGCTGAAGTGGTCTTTCAGAGACAGAAATCAGATGTCATCTCCTATAAAAAGCCCTCCAATGACTTCTCATCACACTGGGAAAATAAATAATATTTACTACAATCTAAAAGGCTATTCATTATTTGGCCTTTGCCCACCTCTCGAAACTAACCTGTTATTCTCTACTTTTCCCTACATAAGCTTCTAGCCATATCAGCCTTCCTGTTGCTCCCCAAAATACAGGGCGTGATCCTTCTCTTACTATTTCTTTTACAGAGATCTTCATACGGTTTACTCCGTTATTCAGAGTTCCATTCAAATGCTAACTAGTCTTACTGCAGTGATTATTTCATAATTTATACAAATATCAAATCATTGTGTTGTGCCCCTGGAACTAAAATGTTGTATGTATCAATTATACCTCAGTTTTAAAAAGGAGAGAGGGTTGATGAAGATGCTAGAACAATCATTTTAGAGGGATTAATATTTTTAAGACACAACTAGGACTGATTTAATTCCCATTCAAACAAGTGACTTTACATCAAGGTTAGAGATATGCAAATATAATTTATAAAAGAATAACTGTTGCTTTATTTAATTCTTTAGACAAAGAGTATAATAATTTCCAAGGACATAGAGTATTTTAAACTGATTCAAACTGGGGTACGCATATCCTTTAGGTTTATGGTTAAAAAAAGTCACGTCCTCAGAAGACTTTCCAGGAATACTCATTCTCTGCCTCACTACCCTCTGCACCCTCACCCTATTTCTTTATTTGATAGTAAGCAGAACTCTCTGAAATATGATTTATTCATTTTACATCATTTTATCTGTCATACAGCCCAAAAATGTAAGTCTCTGTCGATTGCTCCTGCTGTATTCCCATGATCAAAAACAGCTAATTGGCATCGAGTATTCATTAATTACCTGATAATAAAAGAAAAATGCTTACAATGACAATTATATAATTTTTAAGGTATACATTAAAAATAGAATAAAATACCAATCAATTACTTTGGCAACACATGCAAATTTCATTCCAATTTTTCCTTAATGAACATAAATTACTCTATAAAGGAAAAAATAAAATGCACATATAACTACTCTTATCATTGTTTAAAAACACACAGAATTGTTAACAATGATTGCATGTTTGGACGGTACACCACCAGTGGATATTAGCTTTTTGGTTATTTTTACTTTTTTGGTGGTTTTATCCTCAAACACTTTTTAGTCAGCATTCATTTAAAATAAAGAAGAAAGCATACTATAAGAAAATGAGTGGCATTTGAGCAGTTTCCCATTACTGCTAGCAGGAGCATGAAGAGAAGCAAAGTACTACATTAGAAGAGGTTCACGATGTATATTTGTGGAAAGCTCCCTAATACTTTGACCAACTAAGGTCACTGAAAGATATCATCAATGGTGATTTCTGAATCTTTTAACTTATCTACTTCACATACCTATCTATGTAGGGTATTCTTTTTCATCTGTGAAATTTGCAGGCTTCCAAAATCCACAAAATATTAAATCCTAAAATATTAATTAGACCTTATTTTCCTTTGACTTACATAGCTGGCTATGATGGAATCTCAACAGAGCATTGACAGTGCATGTAGACTATGCCACAACCCAGGACACCAATGAAAATAGTGGTACGCCAGACCTAGACATTTTACCATTAATTCCTTAAGAGAGAACTACAATGCACCATGAAAGCAAGACTACCATGCTTGTCATATATACTATGGAAGTCCTAAAGCATGGACAGTGCTTGGTACACAGTAGGCACTCGATGCTTATCGATATGAATTTAACCCACCTGTTAACCAATTCCACCATATAGAAGTTGTGAGTCTGTTACATCTTCTGTTTCAAGAGTTTTACTAATGTTCACTCAGCACAGCTGGTTAAGAGTTCACTACCTGTTTTCCTCTAACCTATCTCACTTCCTCTTTGCCTCTGGGTAAAACTGTACTTAACCAGGCATTAATCATTACATGGATAATGAGGTGATTCTTAAAACATTTTGTCAGAGAAAATAATTCTATGGTATTTGTAAATCATTGGCAATCTTTGTAGATAGTAAGTTTAACAACTTCAAATATTAGCATTTGCTATGGTTAGAAAAAAATTATCATGCATTATCAGACCCAACAGTATCTGCATCTTATTCAACAGATCAAAGACCTCCATCAATGTAGTTTTAAAACCATGTATGTCTAGTAACTTCTAATAGTAATTTGTTAAACAAAACAAACACGGAGTTTTTGAAATGCACATTTAAAAACATTCAGATAAAATCTGCTTAAGTCACTGAATTATTGCCAGTAAAAAACTTACCGCCTGTCACTTCACACATTGGTGTGATTGCAGAGTCATCTAAAGGCACACCTGTCAACTGTTCTGATTCTACGGACATCGTCCCCGGCAACCGCAACACTAATGCAAAGAGTCTCTGATCCCAACGAAAAGGTTCCTTGGTCAATTCACTTCCAGGCAAAGGAGAATTAAGAGGTAAATGGAGCTGAAAGGGGAAAAAAAAAAAAAGATTTCTACACACTATGTCTCCCAAAAAGGCTACATTTATTACACTTATTGTAACTACATCATGAGTCTCCTATCATTCAAATAAGCTCAAAAACAAAAGCTTTTATATATATATATATGTATGTATGTGTGTGTATATACATATGAAATAGCATGTAAGATATTACTACTTCAATTTTCTTAAGCTTTACTTTGAAGACCTCAATTGAAAAAAATAAATCTATTTCTGTAATGCTTTCCAGATTAATAACTAACCACTAGGTGCTGGGACTGCTTCCAAATTAATTGTTTCATTTAATCATTAAAACAAGCCTATGATAAATATCTTAGGATTCCTATTTTCTAGATGTAAATTAAAAAACAGGTCTCAGAGAGAATAAATGATTTGGCCTCCTGAATCCAAATCAGTGTTTTTTCTATCATACCACACCTCAAATGTTTCCACAGTTAAATGATTTAAATAGGCTTCATTTCATATGAAACATAGACCTTCCCAAAGCATCTGCTAAAAGTAAATTGTGTCACTCCAGTTATACTGTAAATGTACCAAAGGTAATGATTCATAATTCATCTAAGTAATGGTAGAGGGTTTGGGGTTTCTTGCATGTGTTCTCTCCCCACCCCTCTAAGACCTGCTCAATCACAATCTAAGATTCTTAAGAAATCTAAAAAGCTTCAACGTGATTCTAATGTGTACCTCTGTACTAACAGAGTCACAAGGTACCAAGAGATCCAGACCTTAGTCTCATGCATAAGTAAGTGGGGACAACCAGACAGTATGTGCCTCACGATGGAAGGACACAACATGGAGAGGAAAGAATAAAGGAAGGAAAGTTGGCTCTGAATTCAACCACCAGTTTACTGGAGTCCCTCAGGACTACCGGGGACACAGGGTCCACGTATCCAGCGCCACAGGGAGCAGCCAGTCAGATGCAGAATGTGGGGCACTCTACAGGACACACGACCTGGTTTCTTCAGGGAAACCTGCCACTGGGCAGGAAGGAGCAAAGGATGGGGGTGGGGAGGGTTGCCAGAACCATTAGAGAACAAGAGACAAAATGAGAGCAAAGATTTTTGAGACAACTGGGAAAATTCAAAATATATATTACTGGGATTATTAATAACATTTAAGTGTGATAATGATACAGTGCTAAGGAAAACAAAAATCCTTATCACTTATAAAAAAAAATTTTTTTTAATGATATGAAATCCCAGATCAGTGTACTCAGGGACTGATTTATTCAAATACTGGAGTTTTCTTTAAATACAGAACACATTTTAAAATATCACTTCCAAATTAATTGCCAGAGTTTACACTGTTTTTGTCAAAAGCAAGATGACTGTATCGCTTATAGCCTTTCTAATTCTGACCTCAAAGATTTCTGAACTTGATAAATTAGGGGCTGAAGTCAGTCTACACTGACTTAAGAACTCAAGTCTCTTCACTGACTTATATCAAACCATTAAAAAAAAAAATCAGATTCAGTTCTAAGAGAAGAGTTCCCAGTGAGGCTCTGCTAAAATGGCACCTCTCTCCACAAGACTCATGCCAAGAGAACCTCCTGCAAGACTCCTCTATCAAGTCAGCCAAGACTTCAAGCCCATGGCCAAGAGTTATGAAGCTTTGCATCTGGCACTGATCCTACTTTTAAGACAGGTTAGAGACGCTCAAAGAAATCTGGGCCAGGATGTTCCCTGAGGAAGGTTTTCTAACCTTAAAGGTTCTGTGACACTTGCAAAACAGCTTGGGAACTCCAAGCCCTTGCTGCCATCAGCTGCCACACCCTGCCAGAAGATAACAAAGCACCGGTGGCGCTGGAGGAAGAAGGTTTCAACTGTTAGTGCAGTAGCTCTGGAAAGTAACAGTATCTGGCCCTGGCTCAAGAATCCAGGCTAACAGTACTGTAGAGACCTCATGTATAATGGTGGATAGGACAGTAGACCCCTACCATGTACATACACCCCCACCCCTCATCAGATAATAATGAGCATTATCTGTTTATTGGCTACATAATGCTAGATCAAGAATGTATTTCAAGTAAAACAAAAAACCAAGAAGTGTCATGAGTATATTTTACACATAGCTGTATTAATTTTATAAACGTGTCAAATTTTTACTCATTTTTCTATTTCTTATTACTTCTGCCTTCTCATATCACTACCACCCTCATCACCAAAGAGGAGGGAAAAAAATTCCCTGTAACTGAAATGTACTAGTAAAACAGTAAGGAGTGATGGCAAGCAAACAGGTACAGGAAAAAGATAAAATGTTTTAGCTTAAAAAGTGAATACTCAAGAGGGCTGAATTACTCCAAACCCAAAATCTACAGTTGAAATTCTAGCAATGTCTCATAATCACAAAGGAAGGTCTTTCTGAATATATGGAAAATCAAGGCAAAAAGCACATAAATCAAGTAGAAAAATATACAACCAACCATTAGAAAAATGTGCAATAAATATGAATAAATAATTCCCAAAGTTAAAAAAGGGCTAAAAAGAAAGAAAAAAAAAAAAACCCAAAATACCCGAGGAAACCCACGTGGCCTATAAATATGTAGAAGAAACTCAAATACACTGATCATCAGGTAACACAACTTAAAGGTGAGATGCAAAATGAGACACCAAGATGGCATTTATATGCACTACTAAACAATTACTAAAAGAGCAGTTTTACATATATATATAACATACACATAGAGTAAAAGTAAGAAAACATGATATGGGAGGCTACACACCAAATTCATGATAATTTCTGCTTCTCAGATGGGGAACAGGGAGGGAAATCACAACTGAGTAGGGGAAGAAAAGAAACAGCACTCAGTTATCTGCAACGTTCTGTTTTATTCACTAAATTTTAAAAAATCTTCAAAACAAAAAAAAATCTAAACTAGCCAAATATGGCAAGAAATGTTTATATCACATATTCTTATCCAGAGTATTAGAATAAATTAATATGTAAACCCAGTAAATTATCCATTCAAGTAGCTATCTATACCTCTCTTATAGCAGTATTATTTTACAACAAAATCAAACACAAGAAAACTTCATATACATCTCTATTACATATAGATATAATCACTAGCTCCCAAGCTCAGTCATTCATAAGGACTCTGTACAGAGTTCTACTTAACTGGCTATTAAAATATACTATAAGACAGAATATTTCTTGAAAATTATATTTGTTCTCCCATTTTTATGCCCCTACCAAATATTCAGCATGTGGGATCGGGGAACTTAAAAACATAAAAAACATGGTTCCTCTACTCCAAGATTTCTGAGGACAGGGATCATGCTCCTAAATGAATCAGTTTTATAAATGTGTTTAAGGAGAAGCTGACAAAAAGAAGACAAAGTCACAGTACTGGCTACCAAAATATTTATTAGGATTTTTATTTCTGAACACTGGACATTTCTGTTTTTCAACGGTTTTATAAAAGCTGTTTTTTCAGACTTAATTGCAGGAAACTTTAGTAAGACAGTACTCAAATTCAAATGCCTGATAATGCAAAAAAATTAACAATTATACTATAGTAACTATTATAAGGCAGACATTGTTCTAAACACACACACACACTCAATCATCCATTTCTGAATCAATCTAGTGATTCTGAACCACTAAATCATAAATCTCATAAACATTTTAGAATGATTTCCTTTTATAAACCACAATCCCCCATGACTCTTTGATGGGAAGAGGCACTTTTTTCCCCCTTTTGCTATTCACTTCCAGTTCTCGTACACAGGTAATAAGAACAACAAAAGTAAACAATAATAACAAATGCTTGCATAATAAGCACTCACTATGTATGTGTCAAGCATCATTTTGGAGCTTTTCATATTTATAACCTGTTTATAACAAACCAGTGGGGTAGGTACTATTATTATGCCCAGTTTATAGATAAGCTACAATGTAAGATTGTGTGTCAGAAGATACCTGTTTGGAAAACACAGAATTAAATAAACCCTGCTATATAATCAAGTTTAGAGCATCAAAGAAGGACTGCAAATTTTAAAAACTGGATAAATCATGTGAAATTCAATAACATAATAGCTTACCCATAACCATGACATCACTGGTCTTTATCAGGGTCTTCATAAAATTGTACTTTGCAAAGTTTCAGTCTAATGGACTAATAAGCAAAGAAAACTATTTATACTAACCAAGTTTTATTTTTACTTGAATACAATTGAGGTTTTCTGTATTACTATTTTAACTGATTAATTTTGTTGATCTCACCATTCCAGGTTTCTTACATTATCTTAGTAGCCGACAGAAAAGGAAATGTAACTTCAATTTAAACTAAGGAAGACTGTCCTACATTTCCTTCTTTCCTTTGGAGAACTATCTCTTACTGTCCTTTCACCTTTTAGTCTTTCCTGAATTTCTTAAAAATATATATACCATTTATTTCTCCATAGGTATAAAAAACAAAGGGTAGATTAGGATGGTGCGAGAGTCTATCACTGAACATACTCAAAACTTTAGGTACTTAAAAAAGTGCAACTTTCTCTTAACTTGTTTTGTGTCTGTTTACGGTTCAGTCCATAATTATTTATGATTTTGCTAAGGCTGGACTACGGAACAACTTAAATTTTATTTAGTTATTCACTGAGTGCCTACCACAAGCAGGGCATTATTTTAGGATTTAATAAGGACAATACCAAGCCAAATAAATAAGATTTGGAGAAAGTTTTAGCTAGCTCACTTGATGATAGCCAATTAAAAAATTAAAAAACTTCAATATCAGGATTCTCATATGCTAATACTTATTTTTTAAACTTGCAGAATGTAAAAAACAAATAAATTGAAGGAAGCAAACAGTAAAAGATAAATTTCTTTTAAAAACATTTTAAATTCAGGACCCAAAGAGATTTTTTCCTGGTACACAACCTAACTGACTCCTGGATGATGATCACACCAGAGCCCGTGAGAGTCAGGTGACTGATGTCATCTGTACTAACTCTTAGCAAGTTTCC